CTTCTAGTTCGACCTTCGGGAGTTCTTTGGGCCTCGCTTTGTCATTTCGAGACCCTTCGATATCTTTCCCAAACCTTCACATCTCATGGTTAGACTAGCTCTGGTGTTCCTATATCTTGGCTTGCCATTCTTTGTATCTTCAATCAGTGATTCAACACTTCGTTATCAGGGCCCAAAATTGGTTTTAGGCCACTCTTAGGAATCAGGGTGGAAAAAATGAACTACTCTGTCAGCCAGAGTAAACATTTTTCCAAGCCTGATTTGCAAGGGTTAAAAAAAAACCGCTCGGACAATGTGAGGGTAGATAGAGTCACACCCTGTTGGCATTAACAGAGGCGATTCAAGCAAGCCTATTACATTAGATTAGATGTCACAGATTAGTACAATGGTCTAGGAGCTGCCTGCGGGGCATTAAAAGCTATCCTAGATGCTACAACATGACATGAGCCTCCATCAACCAACTCTAGTGCCACTGCCTAGCGAACTCTACTGCTTACACTTCTCTACTTACTACTCTACTCTAGACATCTCCAACAGCAGTGGGCTCTACCAGTGGAATGGGCTCACTGGTGCCATCAGCAGGCTCAACAGGGGTGGGATTAGCTGAGCTCAAATCTTGGAGAGGGCGCCGGGGCTTCGCCCCGCGAAAGACAGCGACCACATTGAACCAGTCCATGGGATATTGAAGAAGAGAGCAGCGCATAAGATCCCCAAGACAATCATCACCAATGCTCCCACGACCCCATGTCTTGATCAAGTTTTGCTTGGAAAATCCCCATTCACACTCCACAGCGCTGAGCGGGAGCAGGGCAACTGCTTGCCAAAGTCGAAGAATGTTGGGGTAGCTCCTATGCCAGTCGTTGTTGTCAAGCGTGAGGGTGAGGGCTTGCTGGAAATCATCGTCCTTGTGCTGGGACATCATCGTCGCGGTGAAAACCCAGAGCTCCCGCAGAGCCGCGTTGTAGTCAAAGCCTGCTCATGCAAAGCAATCAAATGGGGGGGGGGGGGGGGGGATGGAGTCTTGTAAGAGCAAGGTAGCACTAGTTATGGCAATGGTTGGAACCACGCTGGTTATTCACAAGGCAAGCAGGAAACATATGATGGTGCAAGTCTCACCAGGGAGCTTGTTGCCGAACAAGTCGTCCATCTTCTTCAGGTGCTTCTTGCAACAAGCCAGCCGAACCTCATCGTCCAGGGGGTAGGACTTGGTCAAGAAGAGGCGGGATCCATCCACGTTCGCCAGGTCCCTGAAGCGACCGCGAATGTTGCCGACGCAGTCGATAGCGAACTTCCGGCACACGACGCGGCAAGAATTGAGGTCGCTCCGTGTCGTGTGGCCGTCGAGCATCCTCTCATGCAACACGTATTTGAAGGCATGCGCGTTGCCTTCCGAATCCATGCCTTCGGCGCGCACGGTTCGCTTGTCAGGGGAGCCATGCTTCTCCAAGAACTCACACAGCCTTTCGCTGCCACCATTGCCGAAGAAGAGGCCGCTGCTGCACTTGATGTAGCGGTCCGTGATGCGGTTGCAAGTGTTCTGGACGAGCGATGCCACCACTGTGAGGTCGACTTGCAACATATAGGGAAAGGGAGGGTAACAGGCGAATGCGTCTGAAATAAGTATGTGAACTGTCGCTGACTGACACGACAAGCAATACTTTGTTAAATCCCATGAATAAGTGTTAGTGGAATGCTCACCTGACGCTGCTGGAAGCGCATGTTCAAGTGGTTCAGCTCGGCGAGAATATCAGCGAGGAAGAACAGCATAAACTGCACCTTGAAGGATGTGACCACCTCATACCACCCCCCCGGATGCTCGCGGAGTAGAACGACAACAGCAGGAAGAATCTCCACGAAGCGAGAGACAGCTTCCCCACGCGCCAGCCAGCGAATGGCGTTGATGCCCTGGGCTTCCAAATTCGTGAGGCAGTACACGAGTTGGAAGTTCTTGAAGGAGTGGTGAATGACATTGCTACGACCGACGAGGTCCGCGAAGGCACGAATAAGCAGGTCGATGATGTTCATCTCTGTGACGCTTTTGGCGGCGTCCTTGGCCGCTAAGGCCTCCCTGAACACTTAGGGCGGGAGTGACATAGAGAGGGGAGAACGGCGAATCCTAAGTGCGGGTAATACAAATAAGGGAAACCTATCAGCAGACATGTCTCGCGACTTACCTGTGAGCGATGCAATGGAAGGATACCAAATGCTCGATCCGCCGCATGCGCCTCGTCACCACTCCGACTGTGCGCTCGTCATTACGGACGCCCCATCCGTCGACATGCCGACGATGTGCTGAAGGTCGATGCCGACCGACTGAAGAAACTGGAGAAGGACTGCTGTAAACGAGGCCGCATCCGTCCGCTTGACAGTCAGCAGAGTAACGAATTCGGTGACGACGACGCTTCCACGGAAGAAGGTTGCATAGAGAATAAGATGCTTCCCATGAACTCGATCAGTACTCTCATCGATTGCAATGCCAACAAATGGTGAAGACTTGATGTGCCTCAGCTGTTCCTCGCACAGGTAGCCAGAGATGGCCTTCGTCATCTGCTTGAAACCGTAACTATAGGACAGGCGGGGGAGAGGCACATCGAGATAGAGTAAGGCCATGGTGTGATGTACTAAGACGGAACGCCTATACAATAGATGCACTTACACATAGGACATCAAGTGGACATGCGGAGCAACAACACACATGTCTTGCAAGGCGGGCAGTAGATATTGTACTCACTCTGTGTAGTAGGTCCCATACGCCCCACCTTGGGGCAAATCCTGCAAACCTTCTACAGCCAGGAAGAAACAAAGGGCGACTTAGAGGGCGATCGGGGCGTCGGCCTTGCAGACGAACATGGCAATATGGAGGCAGCGGATTAGGTGCTTTGTGGATGCGTCAGAATCCCGAAATCGTTCCAGCGTCTTCTGCTGGGCCTTCTCCATCTCTCGGTCCTCCTGAGCCTTTAACGCCTTCTTGTGCGCGCGGGTCTCCATATGGATGCGGATACTGCCGACTTGGAGGTCTCGGGCGCCTTCACCCTTCTTCCCGTAGTTCGTATTGGAGAACGCATCCCTGTACTGCAAGCAAATTGCACACTTCAAGGAGGGACGGCCGTTTTTCAAGCGAGTAAGACGCAGCCAGGGAAAACGGCGGGACCAATCATCAACAAACCGCCTCTTCATAACCTCATACTCGGCGTCAGCAGGGGGCAGGGTCTCGAGCGATGGGGTCGGCTGAACAGGCAGAGACGACGGAGCTGCAGGCCTCTTTGGCGGCGGCGCCTAGGAAGACACCGCTGGGTCCACATGACGCTGGCCTTCCGCTTGGCGGCGTCGGTGTGACAATACGACGGAGTGCGACCCGCGTCGAACGAGGTGCCCTCTCCATGCTCTAAATCGAGGTCGATGTGCTCAGCATGCGACTCAGAGCGAGGGGAGATCGGCTCGAAAGGATATTGGACAGGTAGAGCGGTAGATCGATGGGCATGGGAAGGACTAGACGGCGGGGATCGAGCCACTCTAGGGGGCAGTAGGGGGAATACCCCGAGAACGCTAAGGCCGTTTCTAGGAGGGGGTTCCTCTGAGAGATCATCGACGATGCCCTCCATATGAAGAGGAAGAAATGGATGGAAGGTACCGCTGGAAGAGACGAGACATAATGGATGGAGGGAGAATTTTGGGGAGCTTTGAGCAAGGAGAGGTTAGTGCAGGAAGCACATCGACCTCGAGAGGCTCAATTGACGTGCAGCGAAGCAGTCGACGCGGACCGCTCAGAGGGAGCTTCGGCTGTAAGCGCGATGGATGGCTGCATGCTGCAGTAGCAACCACGTACGACTGCCACCAAGGGGAGGGGAAATGGAGAAGCAGCGTGGGTGAGGGATGGTGGCAGCAAAGCAGGATTGCTGCCAAAGGCACCAATCGGTGAGCGCCGCGCAGCCAATGCACATTGTATGCGGTGGAATATTCCCCAGCGCATGTGCAACGAGAGCGGAAAGAGGTCACGAAAGTGCGAGTGGCACGGGACGTGGTTGTACTCATCTGGTGGAAGTCTCGCATGAATCCTGCCTCTGAGGGACTCTGTATCAGGGCATTTTCCAGCGCACCCTGACACCTCAAGGTAGCAGATCCGCAACCCAGCTTTTTGAACGGGTAGAAAAAAACACTCTTTTTCAATCAGAGTAAAAAAAGTTCCAAGTCGGATTTTTAAGAGTACTGTAAAAAATACACTGAAAAATCAGGGCAATCAGGGCATTTCACACTACTATTTTGGACCCTGAGTCTGTATTCATTTCTGCGCTACTCTGCTTGTTCATTCATAACACTTCATAGGGTGTCATCCTCTTGGTGTGTTACATGACCGAAGTCAACCTTCATTTACAAGGCACTGTACGCGCCTGCCCTGGGCTTTTCGCGCTGTCCCGCAAACTAGGGAGTTGTGGGTGATGCGGTGCGGACATTGTAAATCCACCCCCCTCCCCCCCCCCCCACCCACCCACCAGGCAGCAAAGGTCTCCCACCCAACTACCCGCCCAACCACCAAAATCTCCCTGCAACTCCCCAAAGTTGAGCTCTCCGCCAACGTCGACTCGAATTTGCCTTCGCGGAAGCGCTCCAATTGCCTGTTCATTTCCGCCAGGGGCGAGAGGCGCGTCGCTGACCAATCACAGGCATCCTCCCGCCCCTCCTGGTCAGCACAGCATTTCCGCAAAAGGCCCCTTCCGCCTCGACGCGGCGGCAATCTCCAGGCCAGATCAGCAAGTCCAGCCCCGTTCTCCCCTTCTTCCCCACGCGGCCCGGACTTTCCCCGGCCCGCTCGGCGGACGGCACTGTAGAACCGGGGCACGCGAGAATCTGGTTCGGGGCGCAGCCGTCATTCTTTCTCTCTCTCTCTCTCGTTCTCTCTTTCTCTCTTTCTCTCTCTCGTGCTCTCCCTCTCCCCTCTCGACTTCGGTACAGTGTTGTACAAATATGGTTGGTCGGTGGCTACCCTGTCTCTGCATTTGGTGCTCCTCCATTCCGTTTTGCTACAGCAGCTTGCGCTCTCAAGCTCACGAACAGACTCTTTGCTCCGCGTCAAGGCCACGGAAGAGAGCCTTTTCCCGGCCGAATTCCCGTAACCTGCGACTCTAGTCTTCATTCCCTTCTCTTTGAGGAATCACCATTCAGATTGTTCTCGTTTCTCTCTGGCCAGGTAGCAGAAGAAGCCAAATTCGTCGTTGTTGTGACCTGACAGTGATTCACCCGCCAGAAACTGCTCATAAGGACATACGCTCCAAGGAAAACGATTACATTGTTCCGATTTCCTTTTTATCAGAAGCGGACACTACCACCAGCAAATGCGCCGCGTGCGTGTGAAGTGAAATAACTCTTGCATCACTCCCTGCGAAACCGGTCAAGGAAAACCCCAGCGCGTAGCCATGGCGCGAAGCTTCCGGGATCTTTTGGTGCTCCTGATGCTCTCGTTGCTGGTCCTACCCTTCGAAACCAACGCCTTGCGGCTGTCTGAAGCGTCGCGACGGGTTGGGAGCGAGAACCGAGGGACGACGACTTCGAACAAGGGAAAGCCGCTCAAGACAGGTTCGTTTCCGCTACTGTGTGCTTGTGCGTAGTAACGCCGACTCCCAGTCATCCCAATCCGGTGGAATGTCAAATGCGATGTGAACGAAACGCAACCAAGGCATGTTCTTTCGGGTTGTGAAAGCTTTTTTGATAGCCACGGGAGCCATAAATCCGAGCACTTCTGTCCTGCTGCATTCTACGGTCGAACGATCATACACATGTAGTGACCATGATTCTTAAGCAAGCATCGCCGTTAATACAAGTTGGCATTTCAAGCGGCATCCCTCCCATCCCATCCCCCCGCGTGCCCCGTGCAGTCTACATCGTGCGCTTCCACCACATGCCCCCCGCCGCCACTTACACCGGCGGGATTCTCGGCTTCCCCGCCACCGCCGCGCCTCTGGAAGACTCCCCCGAGGGGCTAATCGCCTCCGCGGCTTCCGCGGGGTCGGGGGGAGCCGGCGGGCGCCGGCGGCCGTTCGACGCGTCGCAGCCGCACGTGCGCGCCTACGCGCAGCACCTGGTGCGCATGCACCGAACTGTGCTGGCGGAAGCGGGGGTGGACAGCAGCGCCCACGTGTACAGGTATGGTTGGGGGGAGACGTTCGGATGAAGCACAACTAGGCTTGCGGAACCCTTGCGGAAGAACTAGACGTGCGGAACACTTGGTGCGCACACAGTGCTGTGCTGGCCGCGGAAGCGACAGCAGCGCGCACGTGCACAGGTGTGGATGAGAGAGGTGACGTAGGGCTGTCGTCATCATTCCTTATTCCAGCATGTGTCATGCACATTGCACACCCCCCTCCTTCATGAGAAGTGGGGGAGAAGTGGGGGAGAAGTGGGGGAGAAGTGGGGGAGTGCTCTTCATTATGAGTAGCACCCATTCTCCTGCTCCCCCTTTTTCCCTGCGGTTCTCGCCCTTCCGTCACTCGTCCCAGCTTCCAGTACGCGCTGAACGGCATAGCAGCGACTCTCACGCCGCAACAGGTGGAGGTTCTTAAGAGGCGGCCGGAGGTGGGGTCAGTGAAGGAGTCTCCTAAGTACGAGCTGCACACCACGTTCACCCCCACGTTCCTCAACCTGAGGAAGCGCGTGTGGAGTAACGAGACGCTCCAAAACGGGGAGAAGGGCGCGGGGCAGCAAGGGGAGGATGTGATTATAGGCGTGATCGACACGGGGATATGGCGGGAGAACCCGGCTTTCAGCGACGATGTGAGTATAACGAAGGGCAGAAGCAGGGGAAAGACAGAAGCAGGGGAGGATGGTGGGAAGAGGGGAGCATGGCACGAGGAGTACAGAAGGTCATGCCAGAAGGGCATGACAGAAGGGCATGCCAGAAGGGCATGCCAGAAGGGCATGCCAGAAGGGCATGCCAGAAGGGCATGCCAGAAGGGCATGCCAGAAGGGCATGCCAGAAGGGCATGCCAGAAGGGCATGCCAGAAGGGCATGCCAGAAGGGCATGCCAGAAGGGCATGCCAGAAGGGCATGCCAGAAGGGCATGCCAGAAGGGCATGCCAGAAGGGCATGCCAGAAGGGCATGCCAGAAGGGCATGCCAGAAGGGCATGCCAGAAGGGCATGCCAGAAGGGCATGCCAGAAGGGCATGCCAGAAGGGCATGACAGAAGGGCATGCCAGAAGGGTATGACAGAAGGGCATGCCAGAAGGGCATGGGGCGTGTGGTGTGTGTAAGTGCTGTGCGGTAAGCTCTCGTCTCACCATGCTCCGCTCTTTCCACCATCCTCCCCTCCTCTCACCGCGTTCCCCTCTTTCACCCCTACCCCCACCCAGGTCTCCCCCCCTTATGGCCCGGTGCCCTCCCAATGGAAAGGCAGCTGCATGACGTCAGCGGACTTCCCCAGCTGCAACCGCAAGCTGATCGGCGCGCAGGGCTTCTTCCAGGGGCTCAAGGCCTCCGGGTACACCATGGACTGGACCATTGACTACAAGTCCGCGAGAGATGTCGCAGGGCACGGGACACATACCAGCAGGTAAGCAGCAGCAGTCACACTAGCAGGTGGGGGCATGGCAGCACTCTCGCTTCTTCCAGGGGCTCAGGGCCACCGGGTACACCATGGACTGGACCATTGACTATAAATCGGCGCGGGACGTGGCGGGGCATGGGACACATACCAGCAGGTAAGGCTTTGTGGTGGCAGCAGCAGGTGGTAGCAGCAGGTGGTAGCAAGAGGTGGTAGCAGCAGGTGGTAGCAGCAGGTGGTAGCAGCAGGTGGTAGCAGGTGGTAGCAGCAGGTGGTAGCAGGTGGTAGCAGCAGGTGGTAGCAGCAGGTGGTAGCAGCAGGTGGTAGCAGCAGGTGGTAGCAGCAGGTGGTAGCAGCAGGTGGTAGCAGCAGGTGGTAGCAGCAGGTGGTAGCAGCAGGTGGTAGCAGCAGGTGGTAGCAGCAGGTGGTAGCAGCAGGTGGTAGCAGCAGGTGGTAGCAGCAGGTGGTAGCAGGTGGTAGCAGCAGGTGGTAGCAGCAGGTGGTAGCAGCAGGTGGTAGCAGCAGGTGGTAGTAGCAGGTGGTAGCAGCAGGTGGTAGCATCAGGTGGTTCGGCAGGTGGAAACGTGAGCGGATCGGTGCAAGAGGCCATGGCTGGCAAGCCATCGGGTACACCATGGACTGGACCGCCGACTACAAGTCCGCACAGGACGTGGTGGGGCACGGCACGCACACCAGCAGATAGGGCTTTGTGGTAGTGGCAGGTGGATATGAGTGCTACTCGGAGCGAGAGGGTTCTTCCAGGGGCTCAAGGCGACGGGGTGCACCATGGACTGGACGCTCTCGAATACACGCACGCACGCAAAATGGACCGACCCACGAGAGGTGTGGGGGGCATGGGACACGCACACACTGGCAGGTACGACTGGCACCAGCGCACATACAGCAGCAGCAGCAGCAGCAGCAGCAGGCACACACACTGCAAGCTGATCGGAGCACAGGGTTTCCTCCATGGCGCAAATCGCCGGACATTCTTCCAGCGAGCGCAGTGAATGCCTGACAATCTGCTCGCGCAGGGCTTGTTCCAGGGCTCAGGGCGTGCGACCAAGGTGACTTTTGAGTCGACTCAAAAGTCACCTCGCGACCGGACTCAGGGTCCAGCATGGAGTGGAGGAATGAGTACAAGTCAGTGCGCGACCGGGATGCTATTTTTGAGGCGCCTCAAAAATAGACTCCTCACGCAAGTCAGTGAGCGACGGGGATTCTAGCAATGGTGTGGCAGGCTGCGACACCATCCACCATCCATCATCCCAAACATGCTTCCCTGCCCCCACCATTCCGCCTTCCCCTCCCTTCCGCCTCTCCTCACTTCACGTGTGGAAGTGAAGCAGAACGGTGCAGTGCAGTGGTGTGGGATGTGGTGTTGTGCCATCCCACATCCCACCATGCTTCCCCACCCCACTCATTCCTCCCTGCTCCCCGTCCACCTTCCTCCCACCTTCTTGCAGCACGGCGGGCGGCAACAGAGGTGTGGAGGTGAAACTCAACGGCGCCTCGTTTGCCAGGTCACGTTCTACCATTCAACTTCCATCCCTCCCCTTCCCGCCCCCATCTCCCCCCCACACCCCCACACGCGCAGCACGGCGGGCGGCAACAGAGGCGTGGAGGTGAAGCTCAACGGGGCATTGGTGGAGGAACCACACTGAACCGCTCTAACCGTGCTCCCCCTTCCCCCCTTCCCCAACCCACCTTCTCGCAGCACGGCAGGCGGCAACAGAGGCGTGGAGGTGAAGCTCAACGGCGCCTCGTTTGGGACGGCCAGTGGCATGGCGCCACGTGCACGAGTTGCCATGTACAAGGTATGATACTGCATGGCATGTGAGATGCATGGCATGTGAGATGCATGGCATGTGAGATGCATGGCATGTGAGATGCATGGCATGTGAGATGCATGGCATGTGAGATGCATGGCATGTGAGATGCATGGCATGTGCAATGTATGGCATGTGCAATGTATGCCATGTGCAATGTATGGCATGTGCAATGTATGGCATGTGCAATGTATGGCATGTGCAATGTATGGCATGTGCAATGTATGGCGTGTGCAATGTATGGCGTGTGCAATGTATGGCGTGTGCAATGTATGGCGTGTGCAATGTATGGCGTGTGCAATGTATGGCGTGTGCAATGTATGGCGTGTGCAATGTATGGCATGTGCAATGTATGGCATGTGCAATGTATGGCATGTGCAATGTATGGCGTGTGCAATGTATGGCGTGTGCAATGTATGGCATGTGCAATGTATGGCATGTGCAATTTATGGCGTGTGCAATGTATGGCGTGTGCAATGTATGGCGTGTGCAATGTATGGCGTGTGCAATGTATGGCATGTGCAATGTATGGCATGTGCAATGTATGGCATGTGCAATGTATGGCGTGTGCAATGTATGGCATGTGCAATGTATGGCATGTGCAATGTATGGCATGTGCAATGTATGGCATGTGCAATGTATGGCATGTGCAATGTATGGCATGTGCAATGTATGGCATGTGCAATGTATGGCATGTGCAATGTATGGCATGTGCAATGTATGGCATGTGCAATGTATGGCATGTGCAATGTATGGCATGTGCAATGTATGGCATGTGCAATGTATGGCATGTGCAATGTATGGCATGTGCAATGTATGGCATGTGCAATGTATGGCATGTGCAATGTATGGCGTGTGCAATGTATGCCATGTGCAATGTATGGCAATGCATGGTATGAGCACTATGTGATTCGCATCCTTGCTCCTCCTCCCATCCATTCTCCTACGTACTCCTACACCCCCCCCCCCCCCCGACCTCACCTCCCTCCTACCCACCCAATTTCCCCTCTCCGTCCCCAAACGTCTCTCCACAGGTGAAGTTGTTTTGGCCGACGGGGAAAGCGGCAGGGACATCTGCGACGGGTTGCTGTGCTCAATTCAGCCTCTTCTTTCCTCGCTCCTGCAATCCTTCCCTCCTCCCGCTTCGCCTTCTGCGACTCTACTGACGCCCAACCTGTGAAGGTGTCTTGGGTGACGGAGGAGAACGGCCGCGACAACTGCGACGGGTCGGACGTGCTCAAGGCAACCCATGCCTCCTCTGTCTCCTGTTCCCTCCCCAACCCCCCTTGCACACTCTTCCCCCCCACTTACCCCACAACCCGGCTCAGGTCTTCTGGGCGACGGAGGAGAACGGCCGTGACAACTGCGACGGGTCGGATGTGCTCAAGGCGGTGGACACGGCAGTGGCGGATGGCGTTGACATCATCAGCGTGTCGCTGGGCAGACAGGCGCCCATGTTCTTCGACGACGATGAGATCGTCTACCTAAATGCTGCCAGGGTGAGTGGGCCATACGCATAGCAGTGCGGCTATTCTGACTGTGACGCCTTGATTGTGCTCAAGGCGGTGGATGCGGCGGTGGCGGACGGCGTTGACATCATAAGCGTGTCGCTCAGGAGGCAGGCGCCCATGTTCTTCGACGACGACGAGATCGTCTACCTCAATGCTGCAAGAGTGAGCTTGACTACAGACATCATGTGCTTGCACTGCTATAGGCAGACTCACGCCAACACTCAATGTTTCATACATAGCAGTGCAACGCCAACACGCCAGTGCAGCTACAGCCTACAATGACTGTTGGCGTTGACGTCATCAGCCTCTCACTCAGCACACAGGCGCCTCTCTTCGTGAATTCATGTGCCTCTATGCCGCCAGGGGGTGTGGTGTGGGCCCTGAGGCAGTGTAGTTGCGACGAGTGGTGGCGGGGATAGTGACAGTGCATACCACTCGTCCTACTGGCACCTACTTCCGGAGCATCCGCCGCCCGGCGCCATGGTCCATCACTGTGGTGGCCAGCTCTTGAGATTCTCTTCTTCTCTCTACCCCTCCTCCCCCACCCAATGGCGCGCTACAGGCCGGTGTGCTGGCGTCATTGAGTGCGGGCAACAGTGGCCCGCCAGTGGTGGGCAGCTCCTTCTTCCGCAGCATAGGCCACCCCTCGCCGTGGACCATCACAGTGGCCGCCAGCTCGCACGGGCGCAACTATATGACAGACGTCACCATCAAGGGGCAGAAGTTCTCGGGGCGGTCGCTTGTGGGCGGGGGAGCAGGGGAGCTCATCCTGGGGAAGGATGCCGTTAAAGCGGGGGGGAGCGCGTTCATGGTGAGTGTGAGTGAAGAGGAAGTCAGTGAGAGGGAGTGGGGGGATGGGTGAGGAAGTGGGGGGATGGGTGAGGAAGTGGGGGGATGGGTGAGGAAGTGGGGGGATGGGTGAGGAAGTGGGGAGATGGGTGAGCGAGTAGGGTGGCAAGAGCGCAGCCAGCTCGCACGGGCGCAACTACATGACTGATGTGACCATCAAGGGGCAGAAGTTCTCAGGGCGGTCGCTGGTGGGCGCGGGGATTGGGGAAGGATAGCGTCAAGGCAGGGAGAAACGCGCTCATGGTGAGAGCTGGTGCAGAGCCAGCTCGCATGGGCACAACTGCATGACTGATGCGTGACTGATGCGTGACCAATGGCTGCAAGAGTGATGCATGACTGCACGACTCAAGGGGGGCATGCATTAAGGGAGATCGCTGATGGGGGTGGGGGGGGGGGGGAGAAGAGGAGGAGCTGATCCAGGGGAGGAATGCGGTCAAGGTGGGGGGGGACGCCTGGATGGTGAGTGAATGAGTGAGTGAGTGAGGTAGTGAGTGAGTGAGTGAGGGAGTGAGTGAGGGAGTGAAAGAGTGAGTGAGGGAGTGGGTGGGAGTGAGTTAAAGTGACAGTGAGTGCGAGTGAGAGCACGTGAGGGGGCGAGCAGCAAGATCGTGCTGTCTCGTTCCATTGTCCACGTGAGGTGGGTGGAGTGGGGTGGGTGGAGTGGGGCCCCTGACTGCCCCCGCTCCCCCCTCCCTGCCCATCTGCTCCTCCCTGCCTCCCTCCATCTCCCCGTTCCCCCAGGCGGGCATCTGTGCACCGGGCACGCTGGACTCAGCCAAGGTCACTGGCAAGAGCATGGTGTGCCGAAGGTTGCCAACTTCAGCCGGGCAGAGGTGCTAATGCCCCCTCCCCCGCCCCTCCCCCTTCAGGCGGGCATCTGTGCACCGGGCACGCTGGACTCAGCCAAGGCGAGCGGCAAGGTCGTGGTGTGCCGGCGCGTGTCCACAGAGGGTGGGTGGAGCACGGAGGACCTGCTGCCCATGAGCATCACGGCCAAGAAGGCGGGGGCGGCCGGGGTGATCATTTACAACAACGACCAGGCGGACAGAGTGGTGGCCATGCTGCACCCCATCCCCGCGTGCCACATGGACCGCTCCACCGGCATTAGGGTCGTGAATCTTCTCAGAAACTCCTCCTCAGGGTGAGTCGAGAGAGAAGGCCGGTGCTGCGGATGTGATCATACTTAATAAAGTTCGGACTGACCGAGTGGTCACCACGCCGTGGTGGCCGTGCTGCACCCCATCCCCGCATGCCACATAGACCCAACGCCCAAAACCCAACCCCCGTCCCCCAACCCAACCCCACCCACCCTTTCAGCATCACCGCCACCATCTCTGCGTCGTACGTCAAGTCCATGGCAGCGCCCACTGTGGCCCCCTTCTCCTCCTCGGGCCCCAACGTCGACCCCGACGCCGACGCGCGGTTCGGCGGCAAGTACTCGTTTGGCTACAACGATGTCTTAAAGCCCGACATCACCGCGCCGGGGCTGGAGGTGTGGGCGGGGTGGACGCAGTCGCCCTTCCAGGAGCCATATGGCATCGCCTCAGGTGGGAAAGGGGTGGGAGCGCGGCATGGGAGCATGGCATGAGTGAGTACTCGTTTGGCTACAATGATGTGTTGAAGCCGGGTATCGGTGCCGGGGCTGTGTCGTGTTCAGCCACATGCTCATGTCATGCCCACATACTTCCAGTTTAAATGCAACTCTACCCGGCCTTTCCTCCCCTTCTTTCCCCTTCCCCTTACCCCTACACCCGCATCTCCCCCCCATTCCCCTTCCCCCTCCCCTTCCCCTCCCCCCCCAGGCATGGTGCAGTCAGCTGCCATGGCGCACATCACGATCAGCGGCACGTCCATGTCATGGACGTGCCCGCAAACGCCCCTACCTCCCACCCACTCCTCTCCCCTTCCCTTCCCCATGCCATGGGCTGCCCTGTGCCTTCAGGCGTGGTGCCCCCAGCTGCCATGGCGCACATCATGATCAGCGGCACGTCCATGTCATGCCCGCACATCTCCGGACTCGCCGCAATAATCAAGGGGAAATACCCCTCGTGGTCACCCTTTGCCCTGAAATCCGCGCTCATGACCACGGCGTACACCCTCAACAACCAGAACAAGCCCATGTACTCAGCAGGCCAGAAGCGGGCGGCTGACCCCTTTGACTACGGCGCAGGCCACGTGGATCCATATAGATCCCTGGACCCTGGGCTCGTGTACGACTCTACAGTGCTAGAGAATGTACAGTTTTTGATAGCGGTGGATAAGGCGGATGTAGCAACGACGGCAGCGTATTGGACAGTTCCCAAGGAGAAGAGGACGCCTCTTGCTCACCCGTAAGCTACTCTATTTATCCTCCCCCTCTACCATTGCTTGTAGCTCAAGTTGTTCAACCCACTCCCCTAACCCCCCTCTCCCTGTCGCCTCTCCCCCTCCCTCCATGCCTCACCACTCCCCTCCGTCTGTGCCTTCCTCCTCCCGATGACTTCAGGTATGATTTGAACCTGCCGAATATTGCTGTCAGCAACCTGCGAGGATTGACAGTCGTAAAACGGACGGTTACAAATGTCGCCAAATCAGCCAGCACATACACGGCAAAGGTCTCTCCGCCCACAGGCGTGACTGTAACGGTGTCGCCCTCGTCCTTCACGATTCAGCCAGGAGCCAAGGTTACATACCAAGTCACCCTGAAAGTGGCTAAACAATCCGTTAAATTTGCTTTTGGGAGCCTTGTTTGGAGTGATGGGAAGCACTCAGTGCGCTCTGTGCTGGCCGTGCAACCCTTCCGCAAGTAGAGTGTGACCCTCCTAGAGTCCCTACAACCTGCTAGATGCAGGGGACTAAACAACGATTTGTATGATTTGCGTAATCTGTAGAACTTAATATGTTGATTTCCCACTAATCGAATAACGGGTTCAAGGAACCAGACAGTTGCAGCCAGTCTTCCTCTTTCAACTTCCTTCCCGGCTTCCCCCTTCGCAAGCAGTCGTAACCTGATTTCGGTAAGACAAGTAAGTCGTCGCCTACAGCCATCCAAACTCACCACACAAGGACACACCAGGCCAGGCCAGCCTTCAGCCATGGCGGACTTAGCCAGGCAAGTTATAAACAAGCGCCCCCTCCCCAACCACCAACTTATTTTTCTGCATGCAGTTTTGCCACTCGTAGTTATCACTAGTTTCTTCCAGTTTCCTCCAGGTTCTTGGCTCGCGTCGTACTCGCTAACCTCTGTCGCAGGTCCGTAGCGCTTTCGGGCCTGTCCGTGGCCTAATTTAGTATCTCCGAGTTGACTCAAAAAGCCCACGCGTAGCCCTTTCGTGCCTCTCTGCGACCCTCGCCAATGTCAGCGTGGTTAGCGCAACCCTGATTAATTCCTCGTTAATCCAACGACCTAGCGTGCTCCATCGCTGCCGTTCTTTCGCCAATAATATGCTCGTCTGAGACCGGACGTTAATAAGCCTATAACACGGCTTCCTCGTTAGCCGTTTCCGTAACTTTTCAGGAACCCATTATTCGCGTTTCCTAAACTTCCCCGAGTCACAACTAGCCAGGCGCGATGTTTAAGAACTTCTACGGCCAATCGCAGCCGCCGCGGTCGCCGTCGAAGCCGCCCGACGCGGCGGCGAAGTTCCTCGCGCACTCGCGGAGCATGCCGCCGTACCGCGTCAACGCGGGCGCCGCCGCAGGCGGCGGAGGGGTCGGGGGAGCGGGAGGGGTAGCTCCCCCGCTCCCCACTGCCCTCTCCTCCTCCTCCTCCACCTCCACTGCCCCCATATTTAACGACGAGCCTACTAGCGACATCCATATCGAGATCTTGAATCGTAAGGGGGAGCTGCACGCCGTACTTAATCTGCACACCTCCGTGCTTCGCGAGCAGAGCGACTACTTCTTCAACGCGCTGGCGAAGCGCGCCGTGCGCGACCCGATCCAGGGCGCGACGATCTCGCACGACGCCGCGGGGACCACCTTCACGATCCAGGCGAGCGGCCACGTGGCAGACCCCGACGCTTACGTGTCAACATTCCGCATGTTCTACCTCGAAGAGGAGGAACTTCCGGACGAGATCCAATGCCTGGGGTCCGTGTGGCGCGTGCTCGAAACCCTAGTAATCTCCTCCGAACTTCAGTTCCACATGTGCACGAGCGCGTGCGTCGACTACCTCGAATCTGTGCCGTGGAACGACGACGAGCTCGAGGAGATCCTACGGCTGGTGTCGCAGCTCGAGCATCTGCAGGACGCGCGCCCGATCCTGGACCGCCTGCCCGTGCGCACGTGGGACGAGGAGAGCATCTCGGACGCGCTCCGCATCCTCTTGATCCGCGCCGTCGCGTTTCACGACACGCGCCAGGGCGGCGGCGCTGGGAAGCTGGAAGGGGAAGATCCCGGGGGGAGGTTGGCAGCAGCGGCGGCGGGGAGGGGCGGGGGAAAGGCGGCGGAGGTCGCCCCGGGGACGATGGAGTGCCGGGAGGCGGCGAGCGCTATTCTGCGGAACCGGCACGAGCCGACTCTTAGCCTTAAGACTAAGAAGGCGGTTCTTAGAGAGACGTTCGTGGACCTGCTGCAGTGCCTGTGGTCCGAGCAGCGCGAGCTCAAGCGCCGCAACTCGTCCTGCACGCGCGCCGCCGCTGCCGCCATGGGGGGAGGGGGAGGGGGAGCGCCGGGCCCGTCCCCGCGCACCCCCAAGGAGGCTCCGCTGCCGCTCCCCGCCACTTCCCCCGCAGGGAGCGACGGCAGGGGCGCGCGCGGGGAAGCCTCCGCGCCCGCGCACCATGACGTTCCCGCGCCGTCCCCGCGCCCGCGGGGGGAAGAGAGTGCGGGGGGGGGCGCGGGGCCGGGGGGGTTGAGCGAGGAGGACGAGAGCATGCTGGTGATGGTGTACGGGCCGCAGGGCGCGCTGACGTGGCTCGTAGGGCTTATGTTGGAGTTCTCTATGGCGGATGAAGTGTTCAAGTGGCTCGCCACTGATAACGAGTTCGTCTCCCAGGTTCGGCACAGCAGCTCACTGACGCAAAGACAGGCTCGGGAGCAGGGTCGGGGACCCGAGCCTGCAGAGGCGGAGGGGTTGCCAGCCCAGGCTGCGGGTCAGGGATTCGCTAAGAGCTTCAGCTTCTCGACCCAGGGGCTGGAGACTGTTAACGAGGATGAGGGGAGTGCGGAGGGGGGGGCGGAGGAGGGGGACGATGGGGGGGTGGACAGTGTTGCTTCGCCAGGGAAAGGGCAAGCAGGGGGAAGCGGAGGGGGGAGCGGAGGGGGGAGTGGAGTGGGAGGGGTGGGGGGAGGAGCAGCGGTGTCGAGGGGAGTGCTGTGGCCGGGGTCGCTCTATGTGGTGAAGTCAGCGCTCGTGGGGACCATGTCTGCCATGCTATCGAAGCGGCTTGTAGCGAATCCGCAGCTGCGCGTGTCGTTCGTGCGGCTGTGGCTGCCCGTGCTGCTGGAAATATGCTCCACTGCTGGTGGTTGTAGCAGCAGCAGCAGCAGCAGAAGTGGGAGCAGCGGCAACGGACCTTCGTCACTTACCCCGGCCCAGCCTAATCTCACCTCCACGCCCAACCCCACCTCCCAACAGCAGCAGCCGCAACCGCAGCGGTACCAACTCCTGGGGTTCGATCTGACGGCTGAGGAGCGCGCGGCACTGGTGTCCGGATTCAATGAGCTGGTGCTCACTCTGCCGGCCCACGAGCAGCTCAACACCTACACCCTCTGGTACCAGATCGCCTTCTGGACCAAACACGCTGGCGCCGTGCCCCACTCCCTCCCCCCGCTGCCCTCCCCTATTGCTGCCGCTGCTGCCGCTGCGCGTGCTTCGCTCTTTTCCTCCCGCCCCGCCCCCCCGCAGCTGGCGATTCCCGAGGTGGGGAGTGCGGAGGGAGCGGGGGGAGGGAGAGGAGGAGGTGTAGGGAGCGGTGGGGGAGATGGTAGGGAGGAGAGCTGGTTCAACCTGTCGCACGCGTATAGGAAGTGGCTCACACGGCTTGGCAGGCCGTGCTAAGGGCCGTCTTCAGGTGGAGTGGGGCTGGAGTTGGGTCTGCACTGCATGCACTGCATTCACTGCAGCACTGCAACACAGTAGCACTGTAGCACTGAGGGGTGGGGAGCGGTGGGGTGGGGGGGATGGCAAGGAGGAGAGCTGGTTCAACCTGTCGCACGCGTATGGGAAGTGGCTCACTCGCCTGGGCTGGCCGTGCTCGTGGGGGGGGGGGCTTCAGGTGGTGCTGGGGGTGGGTGGGTGTGCAGCAGCAGCAGCACTGCGTACACATGCCCTGCATGCTGAACTGCAGCAGTGCAGCGTTTTTTCAAGGCACGCAAGAGTGAGCTGAGCTTGCTGTGTTACATTTCATCAAGGCAAAAACGCTCGTCTATTTTTGAGGCGCCTCAAAAATACGCTCTGTGCCACGCACACCTTAGCTCCGCCTGTTAGCCATCTCTTCACTGGTTAACCGTTTTGACGGCCCTGCGGCCTGCCCCCTCCCATGTTGCGACCTTGCTGCCTTCTTGCTCTACCCGTCCATTCGATGCTTGTCCAGTATGCCCCCTCCTTTCCCAGTTCCCTGTAGTGTATGTGCTTACAGCCGATCTCTTCTGCTTATAACGAATGTTTGAAATGTTTACGTACACTCGGAGCTTGACGTAATGAGATCCTCTTCCACGTGCTTTTGACCAGTACAGTAGAGAGTCACTTAGAAGGTTTCCGAGAAGAGAGAACGTGTGTTGGCAGCATGAAGGCATTCGGCCCAGGGGTCACAACCACATGCTTCCATCCCAGGGACCTGAGGCACTCCGCATAGGAGGCCACGTGCAGCACGTCCCATATCACCACCCGGCCTCCCGGCTTGAGCACTCTAGCCACCTCTAGAAGCACCTTGTGGCGCTGCCTCTCTGCTGCTGAGGGATCCGTGTCGTCCAGTACCTGCCGTGGGGGGACACAGATAAAGATGAAGGGAAGGGACCTGAGGCACTCTGCATAGGAGGCCACGTGCAGCACGTCCCATATCACCACCCGCCCTCCCGGCTTGAGCGCTCTAGCCAACTCTAGAAGCCGCTCCCTCTCCGCTGCTGTGGGGTCCGTGCCCTCTGGTGCCTGCAGTGAGAGGAAAGAGACGGGCAGAGAGAGGGGAGGGAAGGGGGGAGGGATGGGATGACCCCAACTCATCACTCGCCCTCCTGGCTGCACCACTCCAGTTGGGCTGCCAAGCACCTTGTGCCCCTGCCTCTCCACACTGTGGGGTCCGTGCCCTCTGGTGCCTGCAGTGGGGGATGGCGGCAGGGAGGGCATGGTGGAGGCAGCAACCACGACATGTCTGCTCAAGTGCATGGCGGGCGGAGGGCGGAGGGCGGAGACGTGAAAGGCATGTCATGAGATGGAGAGAGGCCGTGCGATCTACCAAAGCACAGCCATTCATCCGACGTCGTCGTGTGCATGCAGACGATGCGGCAGGAAAAGGCAGGAAAAGGCAGGAAAAGGCAGGAAAAGGCGGGCGGTCAGAGGGGTACCATGAGACGGGGCGACGGCAGGGAGGAGCATACCGAAGCAATGGCATGCAGGCGGAGGGCGGAGACAACGACATCAAAGTAGGCGTCGGGGAAGGGCAGGCGGTCGAAGGCGCCCGTCTTGCACGTCACCAGCGCCCCCACGCCCTCCCTCGCTGCTGCTCTCAGCGCCCCCGCCATGCTGCCCACTGCTGGCGCTGACACGGCTGCCAGGCCGGTTGAGGGAACAGGTGCTTGACCTTGCACAGGGGGGGATGCGCCTCCTGCTCCTGCTCCTGCTCCTGCTGCTGCTCCTGCTGCTGCTGCTGCTGCTCTCCTGGCTGGTTGGCCTGCCCTGCCCTTATCCGCCCTTCTTTGCCGCAAGGACTTTCCACTACTGCCACTACCACCAGCATCAGCAGTCCCATTTTCCCCACCATCACCAGCAGCATTAGCATCAGCAGCATCATCAGCAGCAGCAGCAGCACCTTCGAATCGTCTATTCCGTTCCATTTCTATTCTGCTGCCCTTTCTACCACCACCACGAACCCCACCCCCACCGCCCTTCGTATCCCAGCTATCGAACCCAATGGCCCTCCCCACCCCCCCCAACTCCTGAAGCTGTAGCCCCACGCTCGCCAGCAGCACGCCCCTGCCGCTGCCCAGGTCCAGTGCGGTGCGGACCGGTTGCCAGGCGGGGACGAGGGAGAGCATGTGGCGGGCCATGCGCGGGCGGAGGAGGAGCGAGGTGCGGAGGTTGGCAGAGAGAGTGAGCGAGTAGGCGAGGCAGAGGAGGAGGGCGAAGGAAGCCGTGAAGCCCACCAGGAAGCTTGCTATCTGCGGGGTTGGGGGGGGGGGGGAAGGAGAGCGGGGAGGAGAGAAGGGAGGCAATGGTTGGTGAGTCGAAGCGGAGAGCTCTGAAACGGGAAACGAGGCGCGGAGGTTGGCTGAGGGAGTGAGAGCGTAGGGGGGGGAGGGAGGAGGGCGAAAGCCGCAGTGAAGCCCACGAGAAAGCTGGCGAGCTGAGGGGGGGGAGGAGCGGAGGAAGGAAGGGGAGGGGGCGAGCGGCAGGTGAGGTGACTTGAATAACGAAATTAGGTGCTCATCCTAGCATCCATGCCCGGCCGTGCGCCGTACCCAAGTGGCTCGGGCCGTACCTGAGTGGCTCGGGCCGTACCTGGGCGGGCAGCAGCGGCCATAGCCGTCTAACGAGCGCGACGGCAGCGGCGTATCGGCTGAAGAGGGTCGCTGCGGCGGAGAAGGAGAGCAGCGCCTGCGTCACCAGCGCCGCCACCTTCCCCGGGAAGTCGATCCCGTAGTACGCGCGCAGGCGGAGGCTCGGCGGACGTTGCCCCGCCATCTCCCCGCTCCCCGTGAGCGGAAGAGGCGGATGGGGAGGGGTACAGGGGCGGGGGGGCGGGCTCGGCCTCCCCTTGTGCGGAAGGAGGGGGGGAAAGCAGGTTAGCGGGGAGCGACAGCGGGGGAAAATCGGGAGAGGGGGGGAGTGCGCGGAGGGTGAGGGTGCTCGGTAACCGATTACTGTAGCGGCGAAGCGTCGACCGCTATGACGACGAATTCGGAAGCATCGTCGAAATCAGGAAAGCGCTGATGGCGCTGAGTTGCTCCCACGTCCAGCCAGGCGCGAAAGAAGAAGGGCGCGGGAGAAGAAGGGCGCGGGAGAAGAAGGGCGCGGGAGAAGCGGGCAGACATGGGGGACACGTGCAGGAACGCGATCGATTTGATCGGGAGCCGTCGGATTGGTCTCGGCCCTGTTGTAGCCAGAAGATCAGCGCGATCGAAATAATATGTAGCGAGAATGGCGCTGGGTGAAGGTGGAATGGGGGTCGAAAGGTTCCCGATACTGAGAAGCGCGTAACAGGCAATTACTAATTTCAGTATTCAGAATAGTGGATTATATCATACGTTTAGTCTCCCTCTGGCTATAAATTTATGTTTCTCTAGGCCCCAACACTAAGTACCCGTACAGCATTATCTTTCACTCTGCATGCAGTTTACATGTCGTTGATAATCTTCTTATAGAACCATCTCTTATCAGGATCCTCTACAGCCAGTGCTCTTTCCGTTAGCACCTGCTTTATTCTGCACATTGATGCCTTCACCTGCCACACACAAGCTCAAGCAGAATGGGCACGGCACATGGGACGCAAGGAGTGGAAGAGGAAATTAATACGACAAAATCGGCAAATAGAAATCTAACAGGTCTAACGAATCTATAAGGCTTTCAAACGCTGCAAAAATATTATCGGCATGAGTGGGGAAGCTAACCATAGACGGGAAGGGGAGAGCGGCGAAAGATGAGACGCAGGCATAACCAGAAAAGGGACTCGATAGAATTCAGGCAGGAGAGAGAACTTACCCAGGAGCGGGGAAGGAGGGTCGGGGGGAGAGGGGAAGAGGGGGAGGGTAGAGAGGGAACTGCCAGGGAAAGGTGACTTTTGAGTCGACTCAAAAGTCACGAGGGTAGAGAGGGAGCTGCCAGGGAAAGGGAACGAAACTGGCAAGGGGTGGTGGAGGAGAAAGGAGATGTGAGGACTCACGAGGCGGATGCGGTGCGGCTGCACCATGCGGCGGCCCTGCGACTGCAGCATCTGCTTCTGCGAGTAGAGCAGGTTCTTCTCCTTGAGCAGCACGTACCACAGCGCGTGCAGGTCCTCGAACGACTTGTGCCGCAGCTCCCACGCCTGCCACCCGCGCCCTGACCATGGGGGAGGGTGCGCGTGAGGGGCAGGGGAGTGGAGTGCGATGGGGAGGGGGGGGTGTGGAGGGAAGGGGGGAGAGGGAAGGAGGGGAAGAATGCGGAGTTTCTCTCCTTGAGCAGCGCGTACCACAGCGCGTGCATATCCTCAAACGACTTGTGCCGCAGCTCCCACGCCTGCCACGCGCGCCCTGGTGAGTGTGAGAGGAAGAAACGGGGGAGTGGGAAAGGGATAGGGTGACGGGAGGAGGTGGGGTCGGGGATTCCTCTGCTTGAGCAGCATGTACGGCAGCCCGTGAAACGGAAATCCCATTCAAATGACTTGTGCCGCAGCTCCCGCGCCTGTCACCCCCTGCCTGGTTTGTGGGGTGGGTGGGGGAAGGGAGGGTATGGTGCGGCGAAAGCGCAGGTCGCATACGGACGACGGCGACCGGGCCCTACCTGTCGTCGCACGGCTCACAGACCCTAAAACTAGTCGCACGTGAAGCCGTCTGTGATCCGTCGCGCGCCCAACAGATCCTGCCAGTCGCCGCGCCACGCGCAGAAATCCCTACCGTTCGTTAGAGGCACAGCAAGCCCTAGCGGTCGTTAGAGACACAGCAAGCCCTAGCGTTCCTTAGCGGCGGAGTAGCCCTACCGGTGGTGACGGGCGCGTCGGCGGTGCGGTCCTGCTCGAAGAAGTCGGCGAGGCCGCTCTGATGCCGCTGCTGCACCGCCGCCGGCACGCCCTGTGCTACCACCACGGTCCCGCGCTGCCTCACCGCATTGCGACACGTGGCGGTTAGCGCCCTCGCGAGCTGCATCCGTGCCAAGTGGTAGCGAAAGTAGAGCGGCGACGGAGGAAAGCGTGACCTAGGCAGGAAGTTGAGACGCTGAGATAGCTTAGGTTTGGCTGTGGAATTCTAGAATTGGATTTGGAATCCCCAAACGTAGTTTGTATGCGACGACGTTCAGAAGTAACCAGTATATTTTGTCGAAGCGTATTTTAGCGGATATGTCTCCACGGCTTGGAAGTTCCCCCGCCTGGCTACGTTGGGGGTTTGTAGGTCTTGTTCGCACAAAGGCTCGGCAAATTGTAACGAGCAGTTAGGTTCGGCACCTGGCAGCGCTGCACCTTTCCCTGTTCGTTCGATAACAACGCGAACTACGGAGAGCTGTTCGATTCCTTCGTGACAGCTGTTTGGGAATCCCCCCAGGCTCGCTAGCTTGGTTCGGTGAATGCCAAGATCAATTCCCGAGGAACAAACCCTCAACCAAATTGGGCTGGGGCTTCTTGCTTGAGCTATCTCCACTGATTCCTAGAGAGAGCCCCTTTTCCTAATGACCAGTTCCATAAGAGTATTTTCCCTGGAAAGCTACGTCCCTAGACTAGGCTCGCATGACTCCCTGCTACTCCTTGGCCGAGTGCGATTTCTCCTTTAGGTAGTCTTGGAACGTTCAAGCTGTGCTCCCTTCGGAGTTATATTTGATCGTAGAGCAGCATTTATCTGGGAGTTCTTCCTACCGCTAAAAAAATAAATGCTCCGAGATCTAATCTGAATGTTTACCATTCTGTACTCGGGTATTCTCATATCGAAACTGAAAATATTATCATGGAAGGCGGTTTTGAGAACGCGGACGGGACAGGAAATCAGGACGCTTATTTTCAGAGCTTAGACTCATTTTCCAAAGCAGCTGATTTTCCGGAAATAATTCCTGGCGGTCTGGCACAGACCCAGGGTATGGAGTTACCCACTGAGGATGTGTTCGGCACCCCTACTTTTTCCGACGATATGCTAGGAGCCGGTGCCACGTGGACCGATCCTCCACTAGTGACAGGAAATGGTGGCAGTGCGGGTAATACAACTGACGTGGCTAATCACGGTGACGCACTTAACATTTATACTCTAGCTAATGGCGGTAGTACCGCCTTCGCTGCTAATCCTTCTGACCGAGTTAATCCCTGGGACACATCTGACGGTGCTGACGCTGGCATAACTGGCGATGCTGCTCGTGCACCCGATTTGCCTGCTCCTGATGTAACTTTTAGATCACCGAATGCTGGAGAAGCTTACTTATCGGAGAATGCCATAACGGGGACGGCAGCAGCTGCAGAGAACGGAGACGAGGAGCAGCAAGGTATGGATCGGGGCGAGGAGAGGGGCGGGAAGACGGTGGAGAATATCGGAGCGGAGAAGAAAGGTGGCGCGGCAGGCGAAGAGTCACAGCCTGCGGTGAGGGCGGGTGGAAGCGAGGGCGACGCCGAAGGAACCCCAGGGGAGACGGCTGCGGCTGCTACTCCTGGGAGTCGTGCGTCTCCCATGTTTCGCACGCCGGATGTCCCGACACCTGGGACCCGTGCTACTCCTGCTACGGCCGTCAGCACTCCTGCTACGGCCGTCAGTACTCCTGCTACGGCCGTCAGCATTCCTGCTACGTCCGTCAGCACTCCTGCTACGGCCGTCAGTACTCCTGCTAGTGCCGTCAGCACTCTTGCCACTGCCGTCAGCACTCCTGCCACAGCCGTCAGCACTCCTGCTGCAGCCGTCAGCACTCCTGCTGATACTCCGGGTACAACCTCCCCTGGCACCCCTGCCACAACCGCTAGTGGAACCCCTGCTGCAACCCCTGCTGGCGGTGTTGCCACAACCGTCCCTGGTACCCCTGCTACAGGCCGCCTTAATACCCCGGCTGGCGCTCGTAGCACCCCTGCTACAACCCCCTCTGGCACTCCTGTAGCAGCCCTCTTCGCAACTCCTGCCAGCCCCCTTGCTGACGCTCCCCTCCCGACTCCTGCTGCTGCTCCCACTCCCCCTCCTCCCGCTGCTCATACTCCCCCGCCTTCCGCTGCTCCCACTCCCCCGCTTCCCGCTGCTCTTTCTCCCTCCATTCCTGCTTCTCCCCATTCTCCCCCTCCCGCTGCAAGCCCGTTGAACGATGCTGCCCTCCCAACTCCTCCCCCTGCTCCCACTCCTCTCGTTCCTCCTGCCGTGCCGTACCTGGGCAAGCTAGTTCGGAAGAGGTTCGGCGACGTGGTGTTCCTGGGTCGGGTGTTTCAGTTTGACCGGGAGGAGGGGTGGTACAAGGTTCGGTACGAGGACGGGGATCTGGAGGATTTGGAGGAAGGCGAGGTGATGACGCTGCTGGTGGGGGAGGGGGAGGAGACGGCCGCTGCTGCAGAAGTGGATAACTGGTGAGTGCGGGGATGGGATGGGGTGGGATGCGAAGGGATGGGATGGGATGGGGATGGGATGGGGATGGGAGGGGTAGTACAAGGAGCAGTGCGAGAATGAAGGGAAAGGAACGGGGAGGAAGAGGAGGTGCTGGCGCTGCTGGTGAGGGAGGGGGAGGAGAGGGCTGCTGCTGCTGTTGCTGCTCAAGTGGGTAACTGGTGAGATGGGTGCAGGGTTGAGGGAGAGGTGGTCGGGATGGGGTGGGGATGGCACGAGGAAGGTGCTGGATCAAGAGCTTCAGTGCAGTGGGGGAGTCATTCATTCATTGCTCTTGCCTGCGATCGTTATTCTCCCCTCTGCCTGTTCCTCAGGCGGCCTGACCTGAAGCGCCGGGCATTCTTCAGTCCTGCTTGTCACTGTTTGCTCGTCCGACCCCTCTCTACGTACCCCACAGGCCCGACCAGAAGCGGCAGGCGTTCTTCAGCGAGGTGGAGGAGCCCGTGTTTGTGGAGGACATAGGGGCGATGGCAGGGGGGGGGGAGAGGGGGCAGGGGGAGGCAGAGGGGGGGGGGGGGGAGGTGGAGAGGTGGCGGGGGGAGGCGGAGAGGGGGCAGGGGGAGGCGGAGAGGGGGCAGGGGAAGGCGGAGAAGGGGCGGGGGGTGGAGGTGAGGGGGTTAGCTTGGGCAAGGCGGAGGCACAGGAGCAGGCAGAGCAGGCTGGCGCGGCAGCAGTGGGAGATGTCGAGGGGCGGGCAGTAGCAGGGGAAGGCGGTGTCTTGCCTGCCACGCCCAGTCAGGTGCTGACAGGAGCAGCAGCGTCGCCCCTCACTGCCTCTGCAGCAGCGTCATCCCTCGCTGCCACTGCAGCAGCGCCATCCCTCACTGCCTCTGCAGCAGCGTCATCCCTCACTGCCACTGGGGTAGCGTCACCCCTCGCTGCCACTGCAGCAGCGTCGCCCGTCACTGCGAGTAAGGCACTGACTGCAGCCAAGGCAGCAGCCCAGCAGGCGGTGCCCGCCAGACAAGCTGCCTCTGCTGGCCCAAAGCCCAGAAGCCGCAGGTACAAGACTGCTGTGGCCAAGAGCCCTGCTCCTCGCAGCCGCACGAGGGTGGTCACTCCTGCAGCCAAGTCTTCTGCTGCTACGGGCCCTTCGAAATCCCCAACTCCTGCTAAGAGCCCTGCCAAGAGCCCTGCTAAGAGCCCTGCCAAGAGACCTGCCAAGAGCCCTGCTAAGAGCCCTGCCAAGAGCCCTGCTAAGAGCCCTGCCAAGAGCCCTGCTAAGAGCCCTGCCAAGAGCCCTGCTAAGAGCCCTGCTAAGAGCCCTGCCAAGAGCCCTGCTAAGAGCCCTGCCAAGAGCCCTGCCAAGAGCCCTGCCAAGAGCCCTGCCAAGAGCCCTGCTAAGAGTCCTAGTCGCAGTCCTGGCAGTGCGAAAAGCCCGCTAACGCCTAGCAAGAGACAGGCCGAGGCAGCAGCCGAGGGGGGCAGTGCCGCTAAGAGACCCTCCCTTGGGAGAGACTCAGTGGGAGTCAGCAGTACAAGGGGAAGCACATTGAGGGGGGGTGCAGGCAAGGCTGCTACTCCAGCCAAAATGAAGACTCCAGGCAAGATGAAGACTCTAGCCAAAATGAAGACTCCAGGCAAAATGAAAACTCCAGGCAAAATGAAAACTCCAGCCAAAATGAAGACTCCAGGCAAAATGAAAACTCCAGGCAAAATGAAAACTCCAGCCAAAATGAAAACTCCAGCCAAAATGAAGACAGCAGCCAAAATGAAGACTCCAGGCAGGCGGGCGGCAGGAGCAGGCAGGAAAGCAGCCCCGGTGAAATGGGTGACTCCAGTCAAACGGGGCGGCAGAGGGGCGACAGGGGGGGTAGGGGCCATGGGGCGGGCAGCCGGGGGTGTGGGGCGGGCAGCAACGGGAGTGGGCAGGAGAAAGAGCAAGACCATGGCGAGACGACTGTCCGAGGGAGTGGGGATGAGGCCAGTGAGGCTGCAGCTTGGGGGGCAGAGAACGCCAGCTAAAGCAGTGACGCCGTCAAAAGCAGGGCCACCAGCTAAAGCAGTGACACCGGCTAAAGCAAGGACACCGGCTAAAGCAGGGAGGGCAGCAACGCCAGTGAAAGTGAGTGGTTATGCTGCACTGCATGTTTTGCTGTGAAGGTGGGCGTGGCGTTATTGCGCATTGCACCCACTAGGCAGGAGCACTGCTTCTCCCTGCCTGGATCATAGCGCCCAAGCATCATGCCCTCTTTCGTCCCTCCTCCCACACCTCTGCATCATGCTCATCTCTTCCCCCCGCCGCTCTTCCCCCGCTCTCCCCCCCCTTCCCTTTTTTCCCCTCGAATGTCCCACAGTCCCCCAGACGCCTCTTTCCCAGCGGGCCCAAGCCCAGGCTTCTCACTAGACTGCCTTTTCTTCCCTCCCTTTTCTGCCTTTTTCTTCCCTTCCTTTTGTTCCCTTCCCTTTTCCGCCCTTCCCTGTCAGACCTCACTTTCCGGCGGCACGCCCGCCGCTCAGCCATCAGCCCGCAGGGCGCTGACAGCAGTGGCGAAGCCCAGAGTGCTCAGCAGGCGACTGTCGCTGGAGGAGAGGCGCCGAGCTGCCTCCTCTCCCTCTACTGCGCGATTCTCTCTAGCGGGCTCCACCTTATCAGCCGCTCGGTCGCCCCGTGCTGGTGTCACTCCTCCTGTGCGCGCTAGGAGGGCGAGCGACAGGCTCTCAGTCACTCCCAGGAGGTCGTCTGGAGGTGCAGGAGGGAGAGGGGCTGCTGTGTCAGCAGCTGCACACAGCAAGTCACTGAAGGAAATTCTAGCCAAGTCCCCAGCCAAGTCACCTGCCAAGTCACCTGCCAAGTCCCCAGCCAAGTCACCTGCCAAGTCACCTGCCAGGTCCCTTACCAGGTCCCCTGCCAAGTCCCCTGCCAAGTCACCTGCCAAGTCACCTGCAAAATCACCTGCCAAAGCACCTGCCAAAGCATCTGGCAGATCAACTCGCGGACGTGGAGGCAGGCTCGCTGCCAAATCACCTGGTGGCTCCACTGCTGCACCACGTGCCAAGTCCCCTGCCAAATCTCCTGCAAAATCTCCTGCCAAATCACCTGCGAAGTCACCTGGAAAGGCAACTGCATCCGTGACACCACCTGAGAAAGGACCGAGCAAGGGGAGGAAGGCGGGGGGCTCACGTAAAGCTGCTGCCCCAGAGCCAGCAGAGGGAAGGTCCCTGCGATCAAAGCGCAGGGCAGGAGACGAGGAGGGGGGGAAGGAGGAGGAGGAGGGGGAAAGGACCACGGGTCGAGGGAAGGGAGGAGATGCGGAGGAGCCGCCAGCAGGGAAGAGGCGGAGGGTCACACGCCTAGCTGCTGTCGCTGCTACTTCTCCTCCTCCCACTGCTGCTGCTGCTGGTGCAGACGTGGGGTCAAAGGCGGTTGTGGCTCGAACCAGGAGGGGAGGGAAGGCAGCAGCAAGTGCAGCGGCAGCAGCAACGAGAGCAACAAGGGCCAGCAGAAGGACGGCAGAAACGGAAGCCGCGGCACACGTGTCAGTAGTGCAGGTTGACGGGGCGGACGAGGCAGAAGAAGCGGAGGAAGTGGGAGCAGTGCGAGACGTGGCAGCAGTGAGGGCAGTACGAGGAATGCAAGGCACGGAGGTGGCGAGTGAGGTGCGAGATGTGGTGGCCGTGGAAGCAGTGGATGCTAGGAGTCCTGCTGGGGCAAGGGGGGGACGGGGAGGGAGAGGAACGAGAGGGAGAGGGGGGAGAGGGACAGGAAGAGGGAGAGGGGCAGCACGAGGTGCAGTAGGAGCACCAGAGCCAGCAGCAGGTGCAGAGACAGCAAGAGGGGCGGCTCAAGTGGAGGTAGTGGAGTTGGACGATTCGGAGGGAGAGGACGAGGTGAAGGATGTGTGGGCAGTGAAACTGGCGCACCAAGTGGAAGCGGGGGGCTCTGGTGGACCCAGTGGTGGTAGGGGAGGACGAGGAGGGGGAGGGGGGAGGGGGAGAGGGGGAAGAGGGAGAGGGAGAGGACGAGGGGGATCAGGGTCAACAGCGCGAGCTGCAGCAGCGGAAGAGGCAGAAGTTGCAGAAACTGCAGCTGCAGCAGCGGAAGAGAGTGAGAAGCCAGCAGCAGCAGCAACTGCAGCAGGGGGAGCGAGGAGGGGCAGGAAGAGGGGTGCAGGACAAGCTGAGGTGGCTGCTGGTGCGAGTAAGGGAGAGGAGGAGCAGGGAGACGGTGGGGCAGGCAAGAGAAGGCGAGGGGCTGGTAGGGCCGGTGGGTCTGCTGTGGTGACTACTGCTGCTGCTACCACTGCAGCTGCAACCCCTGCTGCTGCTGCTGCTGCTGGTTCCCGTGCTGGTGGTGGTGGTGGTGGTGGTGGTGACGATGATAGTGGCAAGATGAAGGTGGTTGAGGTTGCGAGCACCAGGAGCACTCGAGGCAGGGCGGCAGGGACGAGGAGAGGTACAGAGGAACCAGCATCAGGTAAGGCAGTTGCAGAGAAGGCGGATGTAGAGAAGGGTGCAGGGAAGGGTGCAGGGAAGGGTGCAGGGAAGGGTGCAGGGAAGGGTGCAGGGAAGGGGAATGGAGGTAGGCCAGCTGCTAGTAAGGCGGACGCAGGGAAGGCAGTTGCAGGTCCAAGCACCAGGAGACAGGCACAAACAAGGCGAAGGGGGGGAGCAGCAACCACTGCACTACCCGTTGCATCCACTGCTGCTGCAGCAGGAGCCGGGGCAGCTGAGGAGGAGGATGCGGAGGAGGAGGAGGATGCGGTGGTTGAGCTGGTTGCTGCCACTCCCCCCGCTGCTGCACGTGGTGCTTCAAGAGCCACACGGGCGAGCAGAGCGAGAGGGGCTCCTGCTGCTGCTGCGGCTGCGTCCCCTGCCGTTGCCACTGCCGATCAAACTGCTCCGTTAGCAGCAGCAGCGGGTGGGGGCGCAAGGGCTAGTGGGAGGGGCGTGCTTGCGAGTGCGCTGAGAGGGGGGAGGACGAGAGGGGCTGGTGATCGGCACGTGGGGTTCATAGTGGGCACGCCGAGAGGCGGGCTCAGGCAGACTCCAGGCAGGAGCGGAGGAGCGAGGAGGAAGACTGACATAATTGCTGCGAGGGGTGGGGCAGCAGGGCAAGGGGCGCGCGGGAGAGGGCGGGGACGGGAGCGTGGAGGGAAGGGGAAGAAGGTGGTGGAGGTGGAGGAGGAAGAGGAGAAAGAGGAAGAGAAGGAAGGGGAGGAGGAAGAGGGAGTGAGGGAAGTAGAGGAGGTGAATGAGGTAGCAGAGATGGTGGAACTTGCATCAGAGGAGGAGGATGAGAAGGTGGTTGATCTTGCAGGCGAGGAGGAGGAAGAGGAAGAGGAAGCAGAGAAAGAAGAGAAGGAGGAGGAAGAGGAACAGGGAGGGCGGCAGAGGAGGGGGAGGGGGCGAGTGGCGAGAGCGAGAGTGGTTGCGAGCGCCAGGGCCAATCCAGAGCTGCAAGTGAAGTGGACAAGAGAGGGAGGCAGGGCCACCGCACGTGGTGCAGTGAGACGATCCAGCAGGCGCGGTGCCGCTGCCAAGTGACTAATGAAGGTCCAGCGAAGGGGGATGCAGGTCCAAGCACCAGGAGAGGCACACAGACAAGACGGAGTGGGGCTGGGCTCCCTGGGAGGCGGGCTCAGGCAGACTCTAGGCAGGAGCGGAGGGGGGCGAGGGAAGAATGATATGATAGTGGAAAGGGAAGGTGGTGTGGGGAGAGGGACAGGGGAGAGGGGGGCGTGGAGGGAAGGGTCAGAAGGTAGTGGAGGTTGAGGTGGGGTAAGAGTAGGAGGAAGAGGAAGAGCAGGAAGAGCAGGAGGAAGAGAAAGTAGATGAGTGAATGGGGTAGCCGAGATGGTAGAAGTTGCAGCAGAGAAGGATGAGGATGAGAAGGTGGTTGATCTTGCAGGTGAGGAGGACGAGGAGGAGCAAGAGGAAGTGGAGGGGCGAATGGCGAGGGACAGGGAGGGTGGCAGTGGAGGGGCCACGGGCGAGTGGCCAGGATGGGGAGTGCCGGTGAGCGGCTCGAATAATCCGGTGCTGCAAACGACGAGTGTGCGAGGGGGAGGGAGTGGCACGAGGGGAGGTACAGGGAGTGGCACGAGGAGTGCACGAGGGGAGGAGGTAGGGCCAGGGGGAGTGGTGGTGAGGTGAGGCGACCCAACAGAAGGGTTGCTCGATGAGGGAGCGATGGTTATAAATGCTGGAGGGAAGTTTGGAGCTATGGTGTAAGGCGCCCAGAAACTACATGCGTGTTTTGCATTTGTTGGAAATATCTCAAGGACTTAAGCGTTTCTGAAGTGTAACACTGTACTCGAGGAAGATTACAGGGGAGCACGCGAGTCAACGGAGGTTACACGAGGGGGCGGACAAAGAATGCGAAAGGACTCGAAAGGTCGCAACTGGAGGTTGCGACTGACCGTTACAACATCACGGATGGTAACCGAAGCGGCAATCGAGTCGCTGTGCGACTCGATAAACCGTTCCTGTAACTGTATTCTACAACTGCTTTCTTATCTTCTATATATTGCTGTATGCTTGTTTCTTTAATCAATCACTTGTTCTCACATACTAGTACAAGGGTTCAACTGCCTCAACTTCCGCTGCACTACTCCAAGTCTCAAGTCTCTACAAGCTGGGACTTAGTCTCTGCAAAAGATCCTAAGGGCTTTTTCTCAGCCCAACATGGTATGAGAGCTGGTCAGAGATCAAACTCCCAGCAACTACGCTCCATCAACAAACTGCAACTCAACTCAATTCAACGACTTCATTGATTACAAGACATGGACAGCAAGAGCACGACAACAGAGGGACTACCTTCGTGCCGCCGTTCTGCCACAACTTTCAGACTTCCGGGCACTCCAAGGTCAACTGCAACCGCCCTCGCGTTTACCGTCCAGCAGACCCACAAGTCGCCTCAACCCAAGCAAGATCCCCAAGGCGCTCTTCAACATCTGCACAACAAACACCAAATATTATTAACTGCATGGTACACATCGACAACTGCGCACCCGGATCACCACCCACTTACGCACCAGACGAAGAGGAATTCCCGCCGCCGCGCTCACAAGGACTTCAGGTCAACCCGACATACGCTGCAGTCGCCAACGCCGAACCCACCGGGCGGAACACCTGGTTCTTGGACAGTTGCTGCGGTCAACACATGTGCTCCTCGGGACGCTTCGTGCAACAGGAGAAACGACTCAACCGCGACGTCGTCATCACCGCCGCCAACAACGAAAACCTGAAGACAAACAGACAGGGCGTGGTTCAGTTACAATCAATGGAGACGAATGTCATACTTCAACTCAACAAGGTGCTCATTGTCGACAATCTGGGATACAACCTACTAAGCGTAAGCCAACTAATGGCCAAGGGGATTCACCTGGAGTGCGATTCTTACTCCAACGAGTTCCGGCTTTACCACGGGAAGGGCGGCCTCTTCATCGGTCGTGCCCTCCTGAAGTCCGGCGTCTTCGTGTTGGACTTCGTCCCCGACCGCGGAACTGCCGACAGCGATGGCATCGTATCATTCGCCGCCTGGACTCACCCGCCAGATCTTGATCCCGACTTCGACAGTGATGGCTTCTGGCACTCCAACACCATACCTGCAGCAGAGAGAACACGAGCATTAGCAGTCATCAAACAAGAAAGACAAGTACCCGCAAGCGTCCCAACAAAACCATCACCTGCAGTATCGGCAGCAGGACCCAGCCGAGTCCCACCACCAGCGATCCGAGGACCGCCAACCGAAGCAGACCAGCTTATGCCCGTCACACGAGAAGTTTGTCGAAGTCCCGCCTCAGTCGTCGCGTTCTTCTCCAACGCCGACATATACCACCGCTCACCCGGCCATCGGGCTCCCGACGACATCTGGCACCAACGCCTCGGGCACCCTGCAAATAGTACAATACTACAAACCATCCAAGCCGAAGTGTTAGAACGCAACGCCCTTCTAACAACGAGCGGCCAAGAACTTCGACGACCTCGCGCACGGTGCTTCACGTGCCCCGAAGCAGATCTTCCTCATCAACCCTTCCCATCACATCATAATCCAAGCGCGCCTGCATATGCAACGATGGAAAAAGTCTACAGCGACATCTTGAACATGCCTCGAGACGACACGGAAGCCGACTTCAACTACGTCATCACCTTCGTCGATGCAGCAACAAGATACACTTGGCATTACAACCTCAAGACGCGCGATCAAGCCTTCGACGCCTTCACAACATGGCTCCCCATCGCCGAACGGGAATCAGGAACCAAGCTCAAAAGCTTCCAGTCAGACGGTGCACTGGAATACCAGTCACAACGCTTCAGGACCTATCTGGCGGAAAGAGGAATCAAGCGCCTGGTGTCCCTACCATACGCTCACCAACAACAGGGGGTCGCAGAACGCATGAACCGGACCTTACAGACGACGATGCGAAAGCTGCTCCTGGGGATGAAACTGCCCAACACACTGTGGCCAGACGCGATGACACATGCAGTCCACCTGCACAACCTGTTGTCCTCGTCATCGCTCCCCAACAACGCATCACCGCACCTGCTGTGGACGGGAAAAAGGGGCAGCACAAAATTACTTCGAGTTTTCGGCTGCGTGGTACAATACAGACCCCACACAGCTCGAGCAGGACGCTTCACTCAACGAGCTCGGTGGGGACTACACCTCGGCATCGCCAAACATTTTTACGCGTGGAAGATTCTCGACATACAGGACAAAAATACGGTGGCATCACGTGATGTTATCTTCTACGAGCGACTGACGCTGCAGCATTACCTGGACAACATTGCCAACTCAGACGACCCCACCGACGGCTTCGCGGGCCTTCGCTCCTTCGCTGACCATGCTGCCGAGGCTGACGCAGCAGAAGAAGACGTCCCTGGAGCCTCGGAGGCTGCCGGACCACTCCCCTACTGCTCCGTACCTGTTCCACTCGATGAAGATAATCCCCTCGATAGCAACAACCTCGACACCTTTTACCACTTCGCTGACCAAGGCTACGCTACACCACACCCCGTCGACTCGAACATTTCCGAACGCATCGGGCCAAACTTCTTACCCGATCCAGAAGACGGTGATGAAGCAGCTTATCCCGAGAATGAAAATTCCCCTCGACACACAGCCACGGGACTGCAGATCCTAGGACTATGGGTCTCCGTCCAGCACCCGCCGCCACCTTCTCCGCGCGAGCCGTCGACCCTGTCGCAGGCTCTGGGGGGGGAACATAAGGAGAAATGGAAGGAAGCAATGGAAAAAGAGTTAAAAGCCCTCCAAGACCGGAATACATGGAAGTTAGTACCGACAACCAACACCAACGGGAGGAACATTCTCTCGGGGAAATGGGTGTACCGCATTAAGACCAACGCGGACGGCTCCATCGAACGTTTTAAAGCGCGATGGGTCGTACGAGGCTTCGATCAACGATACGGAACCGACTACACAGAAACCTTCGCCCCAGTCTCCCGTCACACCTCCCTGCGCATCCTACTCGCCGTCGCGGCCACGAAGAAACTACCACTACGGCAAATCGACGTCGCAAACGCCTTCTTGTACGCACCTGTGGACGCCGAAATCTTCGTCGAACAACCCCACGGATTCATCGACGACCCTTCAAAAGTATGCCAGCTGGAAAAATCCCTTTACGGGATCAAGCAAGCCCCACGGCTCTGGCAGCAGCACCTTCACGGCCGGCTCGCAAAAATCGGATTCCTACAACTGCCGCATGACCAAGGGATGTACCGACTGCAGAAGGGAAGAGAGTACGTCCTACTCATCGTCTACGTCGACGACCTGCTCTACATCGGCTCCACTACCGACATCGCTACCTGGTTCGAAGGGGAGCTGAAAGGGGACCTGACGCTCACGGTGTCCGACTCAGTGACCCAGTACTTGGGACTAAATATCATCGAAGACAACTCGGCGTTCTACCTACACGCTGGAAAGTACGCAGGCACTGTCGCGAAGAAATTCGGACTAACACCGGCTACCGCCCCAACTCCCTACCACTACGGAAACAACAACAACGCCTCCGCAAAACTCCCCGCGAAGCAAATCCAGGAGTATCAACAGAAGCTCGGCTGCCTACTATTTGCAGCAGTAACCTGCCGACCTGACCTGTCCTATAGTGCAAGTCAACTGGCGACGCATCTGAAGCAACCGGAACAGGAGGATCTCGAGGAGCTCAACCGGGCACTACTCTACTTCGTCTCCACGCCGACGATCGGACTTACCTACAGCAAAGCGACAACACCGTCCGTACAACTACTCGGATACGTCGACGCCGACCACGCGGGAGATAGGGAAAATCGACGATCTAGGACGGGCTATATCTACCGACTAGAACCCATCGGAACTATCTCCTGGCAGTCGAGCAAGCAGGAGTTAATCGCACTATCCTCGGCTGAAGCAGAGTATATTGCCCTTTGTACTGCGACCAAGGAAGGACTCTACCTACGGGAGTTACTCGAAGAAGCGAAGATCGCGACCCTGCCCGCCTTCTCACTCCTCTGCGACAACCAATCTGCGATCAAAATCGCGAACAAGGACGGCTTCGCCAACCGAACCAAACACATCGCCCTGCGGTACTTCTTCGTCAAGGATGAAATCGCGAAGGGGAGACTTCAACTCAGTTACTGCCCGACGACAGAAATGGCCGCAGATTATCTGACGAAGAAATTGGCGAAAGCAAAATTCGACTACTGCATGCTCCTAACCGGGCAAACAAACGTCACCCGATCTGAACACTCCAGCACTCCAGAAACGAAGGGGAGTGTTGGAAATATCTCAAGGACTTAAGCGTTTCTGAAGTGTAACACTGTACTCGAGGAAGATTACAGGGGAGCACGCGAGTCAACGGAAGTTACACGAGGGGGCGGACAAAGAATGCGAAAGGACTCGAAAGGTCGCAACTGGAGGTTGCGACTGACCGTTACAACATCACGGATGGTAACCGAAGCGGCAATCGAGTCGCTGTGCGACTCGATAAACCGTTCCTGTAACTGTATTCTACAACTGCTTTCTTATCTTCTATATATTGCTGTATGCTTGTTTCTTTAATCAATCACTTGTTCTCACATACTAGTACAAGGGTTCAACTGCCTCAACTTCCGCTGCACTACTCCAAGTCTCAAGTCTCTACAAGCTGGGACTTAGTCTCTGCAAAAGATCCTAAGGGCTTTTTCTCAGCCCAACAGCATTGGACGTTTGGGGGCACTGCGCATTGATAGTGTTGGGGTGTTTTCCATAGAACTTGTTAGGAAGTAACATGCTGGTTTAGTTTAGTTCTAACTAGATTGCTTTAATCCGTGTAGATGGAGTGTTCTTTTTGTCTTAACTGTCGTTGACTTCTATTGTGACGTGGACGTTTATTTTTCTAAACTGGAAACGGTGAGCATTACAACGATTCGAACATGACAAAGGGCGGCCAATTTCCCCGATATTGACTCTCGGCATTTCTTTCCCCACATTTTTAGACAGCCGGCCTACCCGCGGTTGACGCGGCGTGGAACAAGCTCTTCCTCGCAACCATAATTTTAGGCGCAGGTGCTCCTAGGTCGAGTCCATAGCCGGCCTGCTTGCCTGCAGTTGACGCTGCACTGCCTGGCGTCTAAGGCTGTCAGCATGGCGCACTGCAGCCAAGGGAACGACAAAGACGAGGGCGACGACGACAGCCATCGGAATGACGACGACCACGACGGTAATAACGACGGCGACGGCGACGGCGACGATGACGGCGATGAAGACGACGACGCAGACGTCGACGAAGAAGACTACGAGGACGACTACGACCGGCACGTGATGCATATTCGTGACTTCCGCTTGTGGGATGCCGTGCCGGGGTTCTGGGACGACGACGAGTACATCCGCCCCGAGGACCTGCACCCGGTCGACGACGACTCGTCGGGGGAGTACGGCTGCGAGCCCTCCGAAGAGTCGGGTAAGCTGCCCTGTGCGCCCCGTGGGCATCCCAATGCGCCTCGTGGCTTCTCAATGCCGCCTCTGGGACCCTGAGCTGTTCCCCAATGCGCGTGGTGAGCTTTCCAATGCGCGTGGTGAGCTTTCCAATGCGCGTGGTGAGCTTTCCAATGCGCGTGGTGAGCTTTCCAATGCGCGTGGTGAGCTTTCCAATGCGCGTGGTGAGCTTTCCAATGCGCATGGTGAGCTTTCCACTGCGCGTGGTGAGCTTTCCAATGCGCGTGGTGAGCTTTCCAATGCGCGTGGTGAGCTTTCCAATGCGCGTGGTGAGCTTTCCAATGCGCGTGGTGAGCTTTCCAATGCGCGTGGTGAGCTTTCCAATGCGCGTGGTGAGCTTTCCAATGCGCATGGTGAGCTTTCCACTGCGCGTGGTGAGCTTTCCAATGCGCGTGGTGAGCTTTCCAATGCGCGTGGTGAGCTTTCCACTGCGCGTGGTGAGCTTTCCACTGCGCGTGGTGAGCTTTCCACTGCGCGTGGTGAGCTTTCCAATGCGCGTGGTGAGCTTTCCAATGCGCGTGGTGAGCTTTCCAATGCGCGTGGTGAGCTTTCCAATGCGCGTGGTGAGCTTTCCAATGCGCCGCGCGTCTGGAACCCCCTGAGCTGTTTCTTTGTGGCTGGGAAACACGCGACCAGGTCTCGTTTCTCTTTCTTCGCGCTCCACGCACGCACGTCCGTTCCCTCTCCATCCCCCTCTAACTCCGTCCCCCTCCCCCCCCCCTCCCCCCCCCCCCCGAAAGGGTGGGAGGACGGTGGGAGGACGGCGAAGAGGAAGAGATGAGCCAGGAGGACGTCTACCGGTCGCGGCTGCGTGGCCAGCCGAAACGAGATGCGGTCGCGGAGATATTGCGATGGTGAGACGGAAGGAGTGGATGCTGGTTTGAGTTTGATGAGTTTTGAGGCGCCTAAGAAACGAGTTTTGTGGTGGGAGGGCGGGGAAGACGAGGAAATGAGCCACAAGGGCGTTTTCCAGTCGCGGCTGCACAGCCAGCTGAAACGAGATGCGATTGAGGAGGTATTTCGATGGTGAGAAGGGGAGAAAGGGGGAGGAGGGGGTGGGGGTAGGGAGCGGGAGGGGGTGGAAGATAATATGAAGGGTTGAGGAGGGATGAGGAGGGGAGGGGAGGGGAGGCGGGTCAGCCGGAAAAGTGGATTGGTTGGGTCTTGCTTGCGCTCCCTTGGCCATATTCACCTCTCCTGTACTCTCCCTTGGCCATATTCACCTCTCCTGTACTCTCCCTTGGCCATATTCACCTCTCCTGTACTCTCCCTTGGCCATATTCACCTCTCCTGTACTCTCCCTTGGCCATATTCACCTCTCCTGTACTCTCCCTTGGCCATATTCACCTCTCCTGTACTCTCCCTTGGCCATATTCACCTCTCCTGTACTCTCCCTTGGCCCTTTCGTTCCGTTCATCCCTTAAGTCCCGTTCGCCCCTTTCGGCCCTTGAGTCTGTACTCATCATGCACCCGTCCATCCCTTCTTGTGCCAGCATCTCCCGTCCATCCTTGTGCCAGCATCTCCCGTCCATCCTTGTGCCAGCATCTCGCGTCCATCCTTGTGCCAGCATCTCCCGTCCATCCTTGTGCCAGCATCTCCCGTCCATCCTTGTGCCAGCATCTCGCGTCCATCCTTGTGCCAGCATCTCCCGTCCATCCTTGTGCCAGCATCTCCCGTCCATCCTTGTGCCAGCATCTCGCGTCCATCCTTGTGCCAGCATCTCCCGTCCATCCTTGTGCCAGCATCTCCCGTCCATCCTTGTGCCAGCATCTCGCGTCCATCCTTGTGCCAGCATCTCCCGTCCATCCTTGTGCCAGCATCTCCCGTCCATCCTTGTGCCAGCATCTCCCGTCCATCCTTGTGCCAGCATCTCCCGTCCATCCTTGTGCCAGCATCTCCCGTCCATCCTTGTGCCAGCATCTCCCGTCCATCCTTGTGCCAGCATCTCCCGTCCATCCTTGTGCCAGCATCTCCCGTCCATCCTTGTGCCAGCATCTCGCGTCCGTCCATCCTTGGCCACGGTGCATCGGAAGCGTGTGCTCGCCCGCCCTCTTATCTGTATTTGAACCACATCAACGACGTTCCCTGTCTATGCACTCCTCATCTTCCCTCCCACCTTGCGTGTGGATGGCATGCCCCCTACCGTACCTCCCCCTCCTGGCTTGCCCTGCCTCTCAGGCCGCAGCACAAGCGCCAGGCGTTCTTGAGAGAACGGGACGAGCCCGTGGTGCCTCGAGGCGCGGGATTGCAGGGAGGCTTGGGAGGGCAGGGAGGCTTGGGAGGGCAGGCAGGCTTGGGAGGGCAGGCAGGCTTGGGAGGGCAGGCAAGTGTGGGAGGGGGGAGAGGCGAGGGGAGGGGATCCTGTAGCCCGAGGCCAAGGACTCCTGATGCCGACCCCGCTCGGGGTGCTGCTGCCATTGCCCTCCGCCGACGATACTCGCCTGAGGAATCTGAGGAGGGATGGGAAGGGGAGGAGCAAAAGGGCGGAGCGAAGGGAGGAGAAGAGGTAGAGCAACCAGCGGGGAGGAGGCAGATGGTCACTCGCTCTGCTGCTGCTGCTGCTGCTGCTGCTGCTCGATCTGCTGCTCGCTCTACTGCTGCTGCTGCTGCTGGGGCTGGAGGGGGTGAAGAAGAGGGAGAGGGGTCGGGGGGCCGAGGGAAGGAAGGAGGCGTGGCAATGCGGCGACCAGAGACAAAGAGGCAGAGGGCTGCTTGCCCTGCTGCTGCTGCTGCTGTGGGTGGGACTGAGGTAGAGGAGAGCAGGGGCCAGGGGAAGGCAGGAGACGAGGTAGGGCAGTCAGCAGGGAAGAGGCAGAGGGTTACTCGCTCTGCTGCTGCTGCTGCTGTGGGTGGGACGGCAGGAGAGGAGAGCAGGGGCCAGGGGATGGGAGGAGACGAAGTGGGGCAGTCAACAGGGAGGCGACAGAGGGTTACGCGTTCTGCTGCTGCTGCTGCCTCTGGTGCCGGTGTGTCTGCTGTGGTGGCTCCTCCTGGCGCTGCTGCTCGTGTGAGTGCAAGGGTGAAGGATGCACCCGCGAGGGCACGAGGAAAGTCAGCAGCAGGAGCAGCAGCCATGGCTGGAACTGACGGGGTCACGCGAGGCGCAGCCACAGTAGTGGCAACGACCAGAGCAACGAGGGCCTTCCGAAGGGCAGCAGGCAGTAAAGCTCGTGCGGGGCAAGGGCAGTGAAGGCGGCACGGCTGTGGGAACTAACGGCTCTTGCTGATGCCCCCTGCTGATCCCCCAGCCAGCTGATCCCCCTGACCCCCCTGGTGGTGAACCTGCTGGGCTCTCAGATGGATGGAAGGCCTGCCGTGCTGTGGAGTCACACTTTGGAGTTGTTCAAAAGCTTCCGGTACCTACATGTATTTATTGTGCATTGTATAGTCCAATCTCCTGTCCCATGATCTCTGTGCAATAATGTGATGTGATATCAGCCTTCCACGTCTGCTCTTCAAACAACTTCGCTTAGGCTTGGTGGTTCACATCACGTCTGAAGTGTCGTCCACCTCCGCCACACACAATTTGATGGATGGCCTTGAAGGTGGTTGAGCACATGGCACGTGTCATCTGTGCAGCACATCTACCCCAATACTGTGCATCCACGGCTGAGGTTGCTTCAATCCCCGAAGAGGTCAAAGTGAGAGGTGGCTTGGCTTGGCTTCACACTGGAAGGCTCAGCTAGGAGTTATGGAGCTCAGCTCAGGGAGGGAGCTGCAAGAACTTAGCACTAGGCTTTTAGGGTACGGCTGGTAGCTGACACATCAGTGGCTATGGTGGTGGTGGTGGTGGTGGTGGTGGTGGTGGTGGTGGTACCAGCTCCTTTGTTACTAAGAGTTGCCACCACCACCACCACCACCACCACCAACACCACCATCCCAACCTCACAGAGGCCAGGTAGCTTCCTACCGGGCCTCAGACCAGGTGGCGTCCCACCGGGCCTCAGACCAGGTGGCGTCCCACCGGGCCTCAGACCAGGTGGCGTCCCACCGGGCCTCAGACCAGGTGGCGTCCCACCGGGCCTCAGACCAGGTGGCGTCCCACCGGGCCTCAGACCAGGTGGCGTCCCACCGGGCCTCAGACCAGGTGGCGTCCCACCGGGCCTCAGACCAGGTGGCGTCCCACCGGGCCTCAGACCAGGTGGCGTCCCACCGGGCCTCAGACCAGGTGGCGTCCCACCGGGCCTCAGACCAGGTGGCGTCCCACCGGGCCTCAGACCAGGTGGCGTCCCACCGGGCCTCAGACCAGGTGGCGTCCCACCGGGCCTCAGACCAGGTGGCGTCCCACCGGGCCTCAGACCAGGTGGCGTCCCACCGGGCCTCAGACCAGGTGGCGTCCCACCGGGCCTCAGACCAGGTGGCGTCCCACCGGGCCTCAGACCAGGTGGCGTCCCACCGGGCCTCAGACCAGGTGGCGTCCCACCGGGCCTCAGACCAGGTGGCGTCCCACCGGGCCTCAGACCAGGTGGCGTCCCACCGGGCCTCAGACCAGGTGGCGTCCCACCGGGCCTCAGACCAGGTGGCGTCCCACCGGGCCTCAGACCAGGTGGCGTCCCACCGGGCCTCAGACCAGGTGGCGTCCCACCGGGCCTCAGACCAGGTGGCGTCCCACCGGGCCTCAGACCAGGTGGCGTCCCACCGGGCCTCAGACCAGGTGGCGTCCCACCGGGCCTCAGACCAGGTGGCGTCCCACCGGGCCTCAGACCAGGTGGCGTCCCACCGGGCCTCAGACCAGGTGGCGTCCCACCGGGCCTCAGACCAGGTGGCGTCCCCGGCCTCAGACCAGGTGGCGTCCCACCGGGCCTCAGACCAGGTGGCGTCCCACCGGGCCTCAGACCAGGTGGCGTCCCACCGGGCCTCAGACCAGGTGGCGTCCCACCGGGCCTCAGACCAGGTGGCGTCCCACCGGGCCTCAGACCAGGTGGCGTCCCACCGGGCCTCAGACCAGGTGGCGTCCCACCGGGCCTCAGACCAGGTGGCGTCCCACCGGGCCTCAGACCAGGTGGCGTCCCACCGGGCCTCAGACCAGGTGGCGTCCCACCGGGCCTCAGACCAGGTGGCGTCCCACCGGGCCTCAGACCAGGTGGCGTCCCACCGGGCCTCAGACCAGGTGGCGTCCCACCGGGCCTCAGACCAGGTGGCGTCCCACCGGGCCTCAGACCAGGTGGCGTCCCACCGGGCCTCAGACCAGGTGGCGTCCCACCGGGCCTCAGACCAGGTGGCGTCCCACCGGGCCTCAGACCAGGTGGCGTCCCACCGGGCCTCAGACCAGGTGGCGTCCCACCGGGCCTCAGACCAGGTGGCGTCCCACCGGGCCTCAGACCAGGTGGCGTCCCACCGGGCCTCAGACCAGGTGGCGTCCCACCGGGCCTCAGACCAGGTGGCGTCCCACCGGGCCTCAGACCAGGTGGCGTCCCACCGGGCCTCAGACCAGGTGGCGTCCCACCGGGCCTCAGACCAGGTGGCGTCCCACCGGGCCTCAGACCAGGTGGCGTCCCACCGGGCCTCAGACCAGGTGGCGTCCCACCGGGCCTCAGACCGGGCCCCCGCCTCAGACCAGGTGGCGTCCCACCGGGCCTCAGACCAGGTGGCGTCCCACCGGGCCTCAGACCAGGTGGCGTCCCACCGGGCCTCAGACCAGGTGGCGTCCCACCGGGCCTCAGACCAGGTGGCGTCCCACCTGGCCTTGGGTGGAGGCCAGCTGAGAGTCGTGCGACCTCAGGCAGCGTCCCAACCTGCAGTCGTCCGAGCTCCAGCGTCTCACAGGGATGCTTTGGGAAAAGGAGATGCCTCCTGCACAGGAGAACAGGGGGCAGACAGACGCGATAGAAAGAACATGTTAGGGAAACAAGGAGTTCGGCACCTGAGCGTTCTGCCCATTGATAGAAATCTCAATTGAAAAGAACGAACACAAGACAGTATGGCAAGGCAGAGCCAACGCACCTTGTGCCCATTGCAACAGCGCCTGCCAGTGCTGCCCTCGTCGCAACGGCGCACACCGCTGCATGGGAAAAGGAAATGCCTCCTGCACAGGGGAACAGGCGGCAGACAAACGTGATAGAAAGAACATGTTAGGGAAACAAGGAGTTCGGCACCTGGGTGTTGGGGACTGAAGAGCGGACAGGAGTGAACTTAGGACCAATTGAAGAAAGAGAACACAGGGCAGGAAGGAGGAAGACCTGACGAGACGGGGAGGGAAAAGGGTCGGGTGCTTACCAATCTTGGACCGTTGGCGTCTTCCGTTCTGCTTGAAGTACGTGGGCGGAAAGAAGGCTAGGTTGGAGGAAGGGGGATAGGGGAGGGAAGGGCGGGGAGAGACAGGGAGAGGGGGGAGGAACCTTCCATGCCACCTCACTGCAGGTGCTGCCCCCCTCGTTGCTTCAAGACACAATCGGGAGTTGGAGAGGTGAACCCAACAGCAGCTGCAAACGAAACTTACAGAGGAAGCTTGAAGGGTTGTTGAATTGCACACTTGTCAACCATCAGACATACCTGGTGGTGTCAAAAAAACAGACTAAGCTCGACGCTGGTGTCTTCAAACATGCCTGTAGAGCATGCCTCCAGTCAGGTTGTCTAGGTTGTCAAACAAGCACAGAACCGCCACCGCAGTTCACTGGTACAGAACAGAACCGCACCGCGGTTCACTGGTACCGAACAGAACCGCCACCGCGGTTCACTGGTACCGAACAGAACTGCAACGCGGTTCACTGGTACAGAACAGAACCGCACCGCGGTTCACTGGTACCGAACAGAACCGCACCGCGGTTCACTGGTACGGAACAGAACCGCACCGCGGTTCACTAGTGCAGAACCGCCACCGCGGTTCACTGGTACAGAACAGAACCGCCACCGCGGTTCACTGCTACAGAACAGAACCGCCACCGCAGTTCACTGCTACAGAACAGAACCGCCACCGCAGTTCACTGGTACAGAACAGAACCGCCACCGCGGTTCACTAGTGCAGAGGCGCCACCGCGGTTCACTGGTACAGAACAGAACCGCCACCGCGGTTCACTGGTACAGAACAGCACCGCCACCGCGGTTCACTGGTACAGAACAGCACCGCCACCGCGGTTCACTGCTACAGAACAGAACCCCACCGCGGTTCACTAGTGCAGAGGCGCCACCGCGGTTCACTGGTACCGAACAGAACCGCCACCGCGGTTCACTGGTACCGAACAGAACTGCCACCGCGGTTCACTGGTACAGAACAGAACCCCACCGCGGTTCACTGGTACCGAACAGAACCGCACCGCGGTTCACTGGTACGGAACAGAACCGCACCGCGGTTCACTGGTACAGAACAGAACCCCACCGCGGTTCACTAGTGCAGTACCGCCACCGCGGTTCACTGGTACAGAACAGAACCGCCACCGCGGTTCACTGCTACAGAACAGAACCGCCACCGCAGTTCACTGGTACAGAACAGAACCGCAACCCCGCGGTTCACTGGTACAGAACAGAACCGCCACCGCGGTTCACTGGTACAGAACAGCACCGCCACCGCGGTTCACTGGTACAGAACAGAACCCCACCGCGGTTCACTGGTACCGAACAGAACCGCACTGCGGTTCACTGGTACAGAACAGAACCCCACCGCGGTTCACTAGAGCAGAACCGCCACCGCGGTTCACTAATGCAGAACCGCCACCGCGGTTCACTGGTACAGAACAGAACCGCCACCGCGGTTCACTGGTACAGAACAGAACCGCCACCGCGGTTCACTGGTACAGAACAGAACCCCACCGCGGTTCACTGGTACCGAACAGAACCGCACTGCGGTTCACTGGTACAGAACAGAACCCCACCGCGGTTCACTAGAGCAGAACCGCCACCGCGGTTCACTAATGCAGAACCGCCACCGCGGTTCACTGGTACAGAACAGAACCGCCACCGCGGTTCACTGCTACAGAACAGAACCGCACCGCGGTTCACTGGTACAGAACAGAACCGCAACCCCGCGGTTCACTGGTACAGAACAGAACCGCCACCGCGGTTCAATGGTACAAAACAGCACCGCCACCGCGGTTCGCTGGTACAGAACAGAACCGCATCGCGGTTCACTGGTACCGAACAGAACCGCACCGCGGTTCACTGGTACAGAACAGAACCGCACCGCGGTTCACTGGTACAGAACAGAACCGCAACCCCGCGGTTCACTGGTACAGAACAGAACCGCCACCGCGGTTCAATGGTACAGAACAGCACCACCACCGCGGTTCACTAATACAGAACAGAACCGCCACCGCGGTTCACTGGTACAGAACAGAACCGCACCGCGGTTCACTGATACCGAACAGAACCGCACCGCGGTTCACTGGTACAGAACAGAACCGCACCGCGGTTCACTAATGCAGAACCGCCACCGCGGTTCACTGGTACAGAACAGAACCGCCACCGCGGTTCACTGCTACAGAACAGAACCGCCACCGCGGTTCACTGGTACAGAACAGAACCGCAACCCCGCGGTTCACTGCTACAGAACAGAACCGCACCGCGGTTCACTGGTACAGAACAGAACCGCAACCCCGCGGTTCACTGGTACAGAACAGAACCGCCACCGCGGTTCGCTGGTACAGAACAGAACCGCACCGCGGTTCACTAATGCAGAACCGCCACCGCGGTTCACTGGTACAGAACAGAACCGCCACCGCGGTTCACTGCTACAGAACAGAACCGCACCGCGGTTCACTGGTACAGAACAGAACCGCAACCCCGCGGTTCACTGGTACCGAACAGAACCATCACCGCGGTTCACTAGTGCAGAACCGCCACCGCGGTTCACTAATGCAGAACCACCACCGCGGTTCACTGGTACAGAACAGAACCGCCACCGCGGTTCACTGCTACAGAACAGAACCGCCACCGCGGTTCACTGGTACAGAACAGAACCGCAACCCCGCGGTTCACTGGTACAGAACAGCACCACCACCGCGGTTCACTAATGCAGAATCGCCACCGCGGTTCACTGGTACAGAACAGAACCGCAACCGCGGTTCACTGGTACAGAACAGCACCGCCACCGCGGTTCACTGCTACAGAACAGAACCGCCACCGCAGTTCACTGGTACAGAACAGAACCGCCACCGCGGTTCACTGGTACAGAACAGAACCGCACCGCGGTTCACTAATGCAGAACCGCCACCGCGGTTCACTGGTACAGAACAGAACCGCCACCGCGGTTCACTGCTACAGAACAGAACCGCACCGCGGTTCACTGGTACAGAACAGAACCGCAACCCCGCGGTTCACTGGTACAGAACAGAACCGCCACCGCGGTTCAATGGTACAGAACAGCACCACCACCGCGGTTCACTAATACAGAACAGAACCGCCACCGCGGTTCACTGGTACAGAACAGAACCGCACCGCGGTTCACTGGTACCGAACAGAACCGCCACCGCGGTTCACTGGTACCGAACAGAACTGCCACCGCGGTTCACTGGTACAGAACAGAACCCCACCGCGGTTCACTGGTACCGAACAGAACCGCACCGCGGTTCACTGGTACAGAACAGAACCGCACCGCGGTTCACTAATGCAGAACAGCCACCGCGGTTCACTGGTACAGAACAGAACCGCCACCGCGGTTCACTGCTACAGAACAGAACCGCACCGCGGTTCACTGATACAGAACAGAACCGCAACCCCGCGGTTCACTGGTACAGAACAGAACCGCCACCGCGGTTCAATGGTACAGAACAGCACCACCACCGCGGTTCACTAATACAGAACAGAACCGCACCGCGGTTCACTGGTACCGAACAGAACCGCCACCGCGGTTCACTGGTACCGAACAGAACTGCCACCGCGGTTCACTGGTACAGAACAGAACCCCACCACGGTTCACTGGTACCGAACAGAACCGCACCGCGGTTCACTGGTACGGAACAGAACCGCACCGCAGTTCACTGGTACAGAACAGAACCCCACCGCGGTTCACTAGTGCAGAACCGCCACCGCGGTTCACTAATGCAGAACCGCCACCGCGGTTCACTGGTACAGAACAGAACCGCCACCGCGGTTCACTGGTACAGAACAGAACCGCAACCCCGCGGTTCACTGGTACAGAACAGAACCGCCACCGCGGTTCACTGGTACAGAACAGCACCGCCACCGCGGTTCACTGCTACAGAACAGAACCGCCACCGCAGTTCACTGGTACAGAACAGAACCGCCACCGCGGTTCACTGGTACAGAACAGAACCCCACCGCGGTTCACTGGTACCGAACAGAACTGCACCTCGGTTCACTGGTACAGAACAGAACCCCACCGCGGTTCACTAGAGCAGAACCGCCACCGCGGTTCACTAATGCATAACCGCCACCGCGGTTCACTGGTACAGAACAGAACCCCACCGCGGTTCACTGGTACCGAACAGAACCGCACCGCGGTTCACTGGTACAGAACAGAACCCCACCGCGGTTCACTAGAGCAGAACCGCCACCGCGGTTCACTAATGCAGAACCGCCACCGCGGTTCACTGGTACAGAACAGAACCGCCACCGCGGTTCACTGCTACAGAACAGAACCGCACCGCGGTTCACTGGTACAGAACAGAACCGCAACCCCGCGGTTCACTGGTACAGAACAGAACCGCCACCGCGGTTCAATGGTACAAAACAGCACCGCCACCGCGGTTCGCTGGTACAGAACAGAACCGCATCGCGGTTCACTGGTACCGAACAGAACCGCACCGCGGTTCACTGGTACAGAACAGAACCGCACCGCGGTTCACTGATACCGAACAGAACCGCACCGCGGTTCACTGGTACAGAACAGAACCGCAACCCCGCGGTTCACTGGTACAGAACAGCACCACCACCGCGGTTCACTAATGCAGAATCGCCACCGCGGTTCACTGGTACAGAACAGAACCGCAACCCCGCGGTTCACTGGTACAGAACAGCACCACCACCGCGGTTCACTAATACAGAACAGAACCGCCACCGCGGTTCACTGATACAGAACAGAACCGCCGCCGCGGTTAACTGGTACAGAACAGAACCGCCACCGCGGTTCACTGCTACAGAACAGAACCGCCACCGCGGTTCACTGGTACAGAACAGAACCATCACCGCGGTTCACTGGTACCGAACAGAACCGCACCGCGGTTCACTGGTACAGAACAGAACCGCACCGCGGTTCACTGGTACAGAACAGAACCCCACCGCGGTTCACTGGTACCGAACAGAACCGCACCGCGGTTCACTGGTACAGAACAGAACCCCACCGCGGATCACTAGAGCAGAACCGCCACCGCGGTTCACTAATGCAGAACCGCCACCGCGGTTCACTGGTACAGAACAGAACCGCCACCGCGGTTCACTGCTACAGAACAGAACCGCACCGCGGTTTACTGGTACAGAACAGAACCGCAACCCTGCGGTTCACTGGTACAGAACAGAACCGCCACCGCGGTTCAATGGTACAAAACAGCACCGCCACCGCGGTTCGCTGGTACAGAACAGAACCGCATCGCGGTTCACTGGTACCGAACAGAACCGCACCGCGGTTCACTGGTACAGAACAGAACCGCACCGCGGTTCACTGATACCGAACAGAACCGCACCGCGGTTCACTGGTACAGAACAGAACCGCCACCGCGGTTCACTGGTACAGAACAGAACCCCACCGCGGTTCACTGGTACCGAACAGAACCGCACCGCGGTTCACTGGTACAGAACAGAACCCCACCGTGGTTCACTAGAGCAGAACCGCCACCGCGGTTCACTAATGCAGAACCGCCACCGCGGTTCACTGGTACAGAACAGAACCGCCACCGCGGTTCACTGCTACAGAACAGAACCGCACCGCGGTTCACTGGTACAGAACAGAACCGCAACCCTGCGGTTCACTGGTACAGAACAGAACCGCCACCGCGGTTCAATGGTACAAAACAACACCGCCACCGCGGTTCGCTGGTACAGAACAGAACCGCATCGCGGTTCACTGGTACCGAACAGCACCGCCACTGCGGTTCACTGCTACAGAACAGAACCGCAACGCCGCGGTTCACTGGTACAGAACAGAACCGCCACCGCGGTTCACTGGTACAGAACAGAACCGCCACCGCGGTTCACTGGTACAGAACAGAACCGCCACCGCGGTTCACTGGTACAGAACAGAACTGCACCGCAGTTCACTAATACAGAACAGAACCGCCACCGCGGTTCACTGGTACAGAACAGAACCGCCACCGCGGTTCACTGGTACAGAACAGAACCGCCACTGCGGTTCACTGGTACAGAACAGAACCGCCACCGCGGTTCACTGCTACAGAACAGAACCACACCGCGGTTCACTGGTACAGAACAGCACCGCCACTGCGGTTCACTGCTACAGAACAGAACTGCACCGCGGTTCACTAATACAGAACAGAACCGCCACCGCGGTTCACTGGTACAAAACAGAACCGCCACCGCGGTTCACTTGTACAGAACAGCACCGCCACTGCGGTTCACTGGTACAGAACAGAACCGCCACCGCGGTTCACTGGTACAGAACAGAACCGCACCGCGGTTCACTGGTACAGAACAGCACCGCCACTGCGGTTCACTGGTACAGAACAGAACCGCAACGCCGCGGTTCACTGGTACAGAACAGAACCGCCACCGCGGTTCACTGCTACAGAACAGAACCGCCACCGCGGTTCACTGGTACAGAACAGAACCGCCACTGCGGTTCACAGGTACAGAACAGAACCGCCACCGCGGTTCACTGGTACAGAACAGCACCGCCACTGCGGTTCACTGCTACAGAACAGAACCGCCACCGCGGTTCACTGCTACAGAACAGAACCGCCACCGCGGTTCACTGGTACAGAACAGAACCGCCACCGCGGTTCACTGCTACAGAACAGAACCGCCACCGCGGTTCACTGCTACAGAACAGAACCGCCACCGCGGTTCACTGGTACAGAACAGAACTGCACCGCGGTTCACTGGTACAGAACAGAACCGCCACCGCGGTTCACTGCTACAGAACAGAACCGCCACCGCGGTTCACTGCTACAGAACAGAACCGCCACCGCGGTTCACTGGTACAGAACAGAACCGCCACCGCGGTTCACTGCTACAGAACAGAACCGCCACCGCGGTTCACTGCTACAGAACAGAACCGCCACCGCGGTTCACTGGTACAGAACAGAACTGCACCGCGGTTCACTGGTACAGAACAGAACCGCCACCGCGGTTCACTGGTACAGAACAGAACCGCCACCGCGGTTCACTGCTACAGAACAGAACCGCCACCGCGGTTCACTGGTACAGAACAGAACCGCCACCGCGGTTCACTGCTACAGAACAGAACCGCCACCGCGGTTCACTGGTACAGAACAGAACTGCACCGCGGTTCACTGGTACAGAACAGAACCGCCACCACGGTTCACTGCTACAGAACAGAACCGCACCGCGGTTCACTGGTACAGAACAGAACCGCAACGCCGCGGTTCACTGGTACAGAACAGAACCGCCACCGCGGTTCGCTGGTACAGAACAGAACCGCCACTGCGGTTCACTGGTACAGAACAGAACCGCCACCGCGGTTCACTGGTACAGGACAGAACTGCACCGCGGTTCACTAATACAGAACAGAACCACCACCGCGGTTCAATGGTACAGAACAAAACTTACAGAACTGAAGTGCCACTGCAGCTCGAGCAGGCGCTGCATGCAGTGGTCAGCAGGGCATCACACAACTTAAAGAACTAAAGTGCCACTGCAGCACGAGGGGGCGCTGCAGGCAGTGGTCGGCAGGGCATCACACAACTTACAGAACTGAAGCGCCACTGCAGCACAAGCGGGCGCTGCAGGCAGTGGTCAGCAGGGCATCACACAGCTTACAGAACTGAAGTGCCACCGCAGCACGAGCGGGCGCTGCAGGCAGTGGTCAGCAGGGCATCACACAATTCACAGAACTGAAGTGCCACCGCAGCACGAGCGGGCGCTGCAGGCAGTGGTCAGCAGGGCATCACACAACTTTCACAACTGAAGTGCCACCGCAGCACGAGCGGGCGCTGCAGGCAGTGGTCAGCAGGGCATCACACAACTTACAGAACTGAAGTGCCACCGCAGCACGAGCGGGCGCTGCAGGCAGTGGTCAGCAGGGCATCACACAACTTACAGAACTGAAGTGCCACCACAGCACGAGCAAGCTGCAGGTAGTGGTCAGCAGGGCAGATCAGAACACCACACCACAGTGACTGCTCGCCGTGCGTCATCCTACTGCTGCTGTCGGTACTGCTGCTGCTGTTGGTGCTGCTGCTGCTGTCGGTGCTGCTGCTGCTGCTGTTGGGGCTGCAGCTGAAGCGGCTTACAGCAGCTCTCAGCTGCTGCTGCAGCTGAAGCGCCTCCACAGCAACGAGTCTCAGCAGCAATCCCTCAAGAGCCTTCCTGCAGGCTAAGCAGAACACGAGGCACGCAGGTTCAAAGTGAAGGTAAGGCACGCAAAAGAGCAATATGATGAATAGACTTATAAAACTCGAAATGCAAAACCAAAATACAGATATGATAGGGAAGGGGCGCACCATCTGCGAAAAGAACACCCACAAGTCACGTTGTATGGGCTTTGGGGGAACTTACACTGGCATACCTGCTGTTCACCAGGGGAGCTTACACTGTGTGACTTGTGGGTGCGTGCAACAGCCAGTGGCATGGGAAACAAAGAGGAAAGAACAACGCTAGAGAGTGGTTGGGTGAGAAAGGAGGGCATGGAGTGAAAGAAGACTTAGCCGGTTTTGGTAGTGGCTGTTGACTGTGTTGACTGAAGTTGACTGGAGCTGACTCTACTGCTCTCCCAAGCCTCCACGTCCCTCGAGTGCAGCTCCTACCCCAAGCGCTGCAGCTCTAACAAATAGGAGCTGGCACAGTGGTCAGCAGGGAGCTAACGAGGCAGTCACAACACTGTGACCCCCTCTGCTGTGCGTCATCCCACCCACAGGCTGAAACGCGGATGCTGCAGCTGGAGTGGTGCTGGTGCTGCTGACGTGGTTCCTGAAAAAGATTTGGTGAGACGCACAAACAGAGGGATAGTTAGTGGTCTTATAGAATTGCAATCGACAACCAAAAGGTGAGAAAGCGGAAAATAATATTGGCACCACTGTAATGAGGAGGCTATCAAGGCTTCAACGGGAAGGGAGCGTGAGGCACTATCAAACCCACTGCCCTTGGCAGCCATGCAAGGGGGACTGAGGGAGAAAGAGGAGGTTTGAGAGGAGAGAGAGGGACGCGCGCATGAGAATGAATGAATGCTACCCGACTAGGATGCAAGCGACTAGACCGCCAAGTGCCAGAGCCACCACGCCCTCACTTTCACCGATCAATTCCCACCCCCCATCCACCTCTCAGCCCCCCACGAAGCAGTGCCATGGGCCGTCATTATCAGATTGAAATAGCTACGAAAAAATAAAAAAACCAGAGGGTAAAGGCACTTAGCCGTTTGGGTGGTCGGAGCAGATGCAGCAGCAGCGGCACCACCACCGCCAGCAGTCCAAGGTTGCAGCAGCAGCACCACCACCCCCGCAAGCATTCCAAGGTTTCAGCAGCAGCAGCACCACCACCGCCAGAAGCACAAGGTTGCAGCAGCAGCAGCAGCAGCACCACCGCCAGCAGCACAAGGTTGCAGCAGAAGCACCACCACCACCGCCAGCAGCACAAGGTTGCAGCAGCAGCGGCACCACCACCGCCAGCAGCACAAGGTTGCAGCAGCACCACCACTACCACCGCCAGCAATCCAAGATTGCAGCAGCACCACAACCGCCAGTAGCACAAGGTTGCAGCAGAATAAGCAGCACCACCACCGCCATCAGCACAAGGTTACAGCAGAGCAGCACCACCAACAGCAGCGGGCGCAGCGGTCAGCAGGGCACTCACGAGGCAATCACAACACTGTGACTGCCTCTGCCGTGCGTCATCCCACCCATGCACTGAAGCTGAAGCGCTGCTGCTCAGGTGCTGTTGCAGCAGCTGAAGCTCAGTTGCTGCTGCTGCAGCTGGAAAGGCCTGCAGAACAAAAGGCGACACACAGATTCAAAGGCATAGTTAGTGTCTGGTAGAGTGGCAACCCACAAAAATTGATAAGCAACAAGCAGAAACTGGAAAGCGAGAATACGGAAAATGGATTTGCGGCTAAGACCCACGGCACCACTGCAATGGGGAGGCTCTCAAGGCTTCAAGGGGGAGGGAGCGTGAGGCACTATCAAACCCACGGCACTTGGCAGCCATGCAAGGGGGACTGAGGGAGAAGAGGAGGTTTGAGAGGAGAGAGAGGGACGCGCGCATGAGAATGAATGAATGCTACCCGACTAGGATGCAAGCGACTAGACCGCCAAGTGCCAGAGCCACCACGCCCTCACTTTCACCGATCAACTCCCAACCCCCATCCACCTCTCAGCCCCCGCCGAAGAAGTGCCATGGGCCGTCATCAGCAGATATAAATCGCAATGAAAACATGGAGACTAAAGGGTAAGAGCACTTAGCCGTTTGGGTGGTGGTCGGAGCGGATGCAGCAGCAGCAGCACCACCGCCGGCAGCAGGCCGCACCCTCAGCAGAAGTAGCACACGTGAAGGTCGTCTCCTCCCACTCGTCCGAAATCGCCAGCAAGGTCGCCAGAACCGCCACCAATCGCCACCAAGGCCGCCAGAACCGCTGAAATCGCTAGCAGGGTCGTCGAATCTCAGTAAGGTCGCCAGCAGGGTGGTCGAAATCGCCTTGTCTATCGCCAGAGCTCCCAAGGCCAGCGTTCAAGCACGCTCGCCAGCAAGGTCGCCGTCACCTTGGCTTCCGCGGCGGAGGTATTCGTCGTCGTATGTGAAGCCTCGGCGTATTTCCTGTCGCCGACGTTAAAGCTCCGCTTTCACCGTCGCTAAACCTCGGATCTCGCCGTCACTGAAGCTCGGATCTCGTCGTCACTGAACCTCGAATTTTCCCGTCGCCGAAGCTCGGATTTCGCCATCGCTGAAGCTCGGATTTCGCCTTGGCTGAAGCTCGGATTCTGCCGTCAATGAAGCTCAAATTTGCCGTAGCTGAAGCTCGGATTTCACCATCGCTGAAGCTCTGATCTCGCCGTCGCTGAAGCTCGGATTTCGCCATCGCTGAAGCCTGGATTTCACATCGCTGAAGCTCGGATTTCGCCATGGCTGAAACTCAGATTTTGCCGTCACTGAAGCTCGAATTTGCCGTCGCTGAAGCTCGGATTTCGCCATCGCTGAAGTTCGGAATTCGCCATGGCTGAAGCTCGCATTTCGTCGTCACTGAAGCTCGGATTTCGCCATCGCTGAAGCTCGGATTTCGCCATGGCTGAAGCTCGGAATTTTCCGTCACTGAAGCTCGAATTTGCCATCGCTGAAGCTCGGATTTTGCCGTCTCTGAAGCTCCGCGTTCCCCCTAGACTTTCGAAACTATTTTGTACGAACTAGGAAGCTCGAACTATGTTATAAGAACTAGGATTTCGCCGTCGCTGAGCCCCCGCTATCGCCAAGGGTTAATAAAGAGTGTAATCCTTGAGATTAAGGGTATATTTGTTTCCTACCCTGAGTGTACAACTAGTGCTGGTAGGGCTACAGGGGGGATCTCCTTAAGAGGAACAACTCCCTTCAAAAAAATTCGTTGTTCTCCCCTCACAGCACGTACTCACACCAACTGACTGGGGAGATAACTCAGAAGGTTTTCGACCTTCTCCCCGCACAGCACGTTACTCACACGTTGTAGTCACCAACAGAGGGGAGACAACTCAGTATATTTTCGTTCTTCTCCCCTCACAGCACGTTACTCACACTCCGTAGTCACCAACAGAGGGGAGACAACTCCCTTCGTAGATTTTCGTTCTTCTCCCCTCACAGCACGTTACTCACACCTCGTTGTCACCAACAGAGGGGAGACAACTCACTCAGTGGATTTTCGTCATTCTCGCCTCACAGCCCCGTGCACGTTACTCACGCCCTTTTCGTCTTGTCCATGCATCTCCTGGTAGATTCTAACCGTGGCAATGAAAAGGGTACTGTGCGAACGAACCCTGATGATTAAGGGCTGCCTTCCGTTGGACCCTGAACATTAAGGGTAAACTTACAAAGAGCCCGATTTTTCAAGGGTGACCAAAAACCAAAAGTAAGCCCTGGTCTCCAGGAAATGGAAGCTGAGGCAAAAGAGGATTGAGTGAAGGCAAGGGTGTGAGGGAAGGGGGGAGCCTCCGCGCTGAATTCTGGGACCGGGGGAGCGGAGTTCCGCCGCTTGCAGGCTCAAGGCGGAAGCCTCTGGAAGGCCCGCCAACAGATTCGGCTCAAACCCATGGATTCCCGGGTCAGTGTGGGAGTGGAATTGTTGGCGAGGATGTAACTTGTTCGTTAGCCGACGGAACGGTTTGCGAACGAATAGAGTAGCGTTTGCGAACACATTTTTGTCGCTCTGCCGCAAGGCTGCTGGAGAGGGTGTCCCGCAGCGCTGGACCTGCGCACATACCGAGATGATTGCACAGGGCCGTTCCCCGACAAAGCGCCTGACAGACAAGTGATGGGGGAGGATGTTGTTTCCGCTCATGCATGGTAACAATCATGCTGGATCTGACGGCTAAGGATACCTCGCAGGACTCTTCCGAATCAGAACTGCCGTTGGATGATGTGATGTGGCTTGCTTCACCCCATCCATAATGTTACAGTAATCGTCCTGTATGGTGTGGGGGTGACGACCAATCACAACTGTTCCGCGGCTGGATGGTGAATGGTAGCATTCGAGTCGCCGTTGACTTGGGTATGATGTCCTGATGTCAGAGCGCAAATTCAAATTTGTGCTGACTTTCAAACATACGGGACGCGGCGCTCAACACTGTTTGTCATGCCTAAATACTGCTTCACTAACATGAAGGTTCCATATTTTTGTGCCTACCTCGAACACCGCTAAAGTTTGATTTCCATTTCTGGATTGAGCTGCAAAAAGCCCAAACAAGCACAACTCACACATGTGAAAACAGCCCCATACAACGAAGGACACTTTTAAATCGACGATAGAATGTAGCAACCGCAGTAATTTTCAAGAATTGGAAATAGTGATGTGAGAATTATCTTGAGCTCGCAATGCAAAAGCGCAAATGCACAAGGAAAAAGTCACATGCAAGGGCATGAACCACCTAACCTAGGTCCATCTAACACCAAGCATGTCAAATGCTAACTGATGCCACAAAAGCAAGGGTGATCGTTTGCACATCAACTAGTCCTGGGGCATATGACACTGTATGCAGCTCCTGTATCCATTCTGCCAAGCCACCACCGTCTAATAATGATGAACCCATGGCAAGTCCATTTTTACAAGTCCGCCTCGCGGAGTAGTTATCCCACACGGAAGGAAGTAAGGATGTCCTTGAGCTCGCTTGAATACTTCTTCCATTGCCGACCTGACAGACACCACAGGGCAGGGCACTCAGGATGGCTTGATTACCACATGAGGGGCGGAGATTTCTTACGAGCACTTCCATTTTCATACCCCACTAGTAGGCATCAGCCCACTCAAATTACTCACCAGAGGCAGCGGCGCCCATGATGTACGTGCGGTTGCCAGTAGCAGCACAACCATACATATCCACGCATGCCCATACATGCCCATACATGCCCACGCATGTCCATACATGCCCACGCATGCCCACGCATGCCCATACATGCCCGCGCATGCCCATACATGCCCGCGCATGCCCATACATGCCCGCGCATGCCCATACATGCCCGCGCATGCCCATACATGCCCGCGCATGCCCATACATGCCCGCGCATGCCCATACATGCCCGCGCATGCCCATACATGCCCGCGCATGCCCATACATGCCGGCGCATGCCCATACATGCCCGCGCATGCCCATACATGCCTGCGCATGGCCATACATGCCCGCGCATGCCCATACATGCCCATACATGCCCATACATGCCCATACATGACCAGAATGTCCATAAATTTCCATGCACTGTCTTGCAATGCCCATGCAATGTCCATGCACTGCCTAGGCAATGTCTTACCAGAGGCAGCGACGCCCATGATGTACATGCGGTTGCCAGCAGCAGTCGCCGACACCAGAATATGTGGGTCCACGTCATACTCGTAATACGTCCGTCCTCCCTTCGTCACCACCTTGGTATCATTCACGCGCCCCTCCACATTCTCCCCGGTAATCTCAGGTCCGAACGCGGTGATGACGCGCTCGGGGTCGCCGACGCTCTCGATCTTGACGTTGTCGCCGAGCCCGTCGGCGAAGCGCAGCACGGGCGCCACCACGATGAACAGCTTGCCCTGCGCCTTGCTCGCGAACCGCAGGTCGATCTCCGTGCCGCCCAGATCCGCGATCGACACCGGCGTCTGGCGGGAGGAGGGATTGGGAGGGATTGAGAGGGATTGAGAGGGATTGAGTGAGAGGGGGAGGAGGGAGCGTTCGATTTCGCATCACCCGGGTCGTGACAAGGCCGACATTGTTCGGACGTCTGTTTCTGACGTTTCCATAACCATTCGTCAAGAAAGTCGACACCGGCGTCTGACGGGAAAAGGGATTTGGAGGGATTGCGAGATGTTCCCATGACCGCTTCAAATGTTTCCCTTCACCATTAGCAGGAGAGTCAAATTGGTCCTTACGCTGTGATCCCTGCAGTAACGCAATGTCGCTGATTTCATTTGCACACGTTCACTTGGTACGTTCCGTGACTCACAACGGCGAGCACGTACCTCCTCCCACGTGTCCGGCACGTTGAAGGTGTAGGGGATCAGCTCGCTCCACCCCACGCCGTGCCCTCCGGACTTGCTCGCCGGCCGCTTGTACGTGCGCAACCCTGCCACCCGGCGGAGATGGAGCCAAGTAAGACGAAATCCAAGACCCGGAAGAACATTGATGAGGCCCGTACGGGCATGAGGAGAAGCGCTTTTCAGCGAAAATGAAGGGCGAAAATTATTGTTACCATTTTCGTCGGGCTCGGAGAGGCCGGGAACGCGGCCGGCGACGGCGGTGGTGGGAATGATGGCGTTCGCCGGGCTGGCAGCGAGGGAGGCGACGAGAGCCGCCATGGCTGGGAGCGCGACAACCGCTCGCCGCGTCACGGGTGCCACGGGGGGAATGGTAGACATTGGGGCGCCCGCGGATGATGCAGAGGCGTCATCTTGCTTCCTCGCAGAGGCCGCGAAGACCGGCGTTGCTGCGGCTCGTCGCGAAGGAGAGAGCGACGAGGGAGTGGCGGCGGTGCGAAGGCGGAGGTGGAGAGGGGACGGCTGGGCTAGGCAGGTGAGCTCCGCCATGGCTGATGGCCGGTGGTGCGAGTAGCGGAATGCGGCGGACTTATCACGCTAGGGACACGGAAGAGCTACCTCTGAACGAGCCTAACAATGCAAAAATTGGAACGGGTGGAGAGTATTGACAGGTATGTTGAATTATGTAGCTGGGAACAAAGTGATGGTGTGGGTGGGGGGGGAAGGACGGTATCTAGGCTAGGGCCGCCCGGATTTGGAGGGAAAAGCGCGACAAGGGGAGTTTCGTTGCGATCGCTGACGGCCCATTGCGAAATGTTTTTAGTACGGCGATTTGTTACTCCAGTAACGAAACGGGATGGGAGTGACGAAGGACCCCGCGAAGGCTTCGGATTTTCTGATGACGAGTGGAGTGCAATGCCAGGCGCGACACTTGGTTGAACATCATTGGAGGGATGCGTTGGAACAAGCGAAGCACTGACGTGCCGGCACGTGGACACGATGAAGGAGGTCTGCATCTGCAGACGTGTTGGCCGCGTCACAAAATCTCGGATTCGCGCTAAAAGCCCAAGGGTACTTCGGGGATTCCCCGATGTAGTGATAAAACATGCTGTACCTATCCTATACCACCTTTGACCAAACAAAATGTAGGGGGTGATGCGGTATACTCATATTTTGGCATTGAATCATCAACATGTTGTAACATAATTCACGTTCAAGGTATACAGGTTTTCAGAGAGAAAAAACTAGTGACCCAGGGCCATTGACCCTTACGAGGTCTTGGCAGCAGCCTCCTCTGTTCGTGGAATGATGACGCCATAGCCACCATGCTTCCGCTTGTACAGAATGTTGATCTCACCTGAAACAAGCAAACGTGCATCCAAGGAAGGAGTAACAATGATGCATAGGCAGCAAGGTAACCAAAAAAGTTGCATGACACCCTTGCAATCCATCCTTGCAGGGTAACAAGGGTGGCGGATGCCAGGTTCCTCCCTGTGACCAGCCCTTATCAATCTCCCTCGCACGCCAAATGCTCCTTCCCAGTGCACCAACCCTCCCACGCCCCCCCTAATCCGGCCACCCTCTTCAGCCAAAAGCCTCCTCCGGCTGGGATAGGTGGGAGTGGGGGACCACATCCCTCCCCCTTGCCTATCCCGTCCCCCCTTGCCACCCTCTTTGCACACCCCCTTTGCCACCCCCTTTGCCACCCCCTTGCCACCCCCTTGCGTATCCCGTCCCGTCCCTCCCATCAGCGACTCACCCGAATCGCCGTTACGGAAGGCGTAGAAGTCGTGGTCGACGTTCACAAGCTGCTCCAGCGCCTCGTACGTGGTCATGGGCGCCATCTCGAAGTACTTGGTGCGCACCACCTGGGGGGAGAGAGAGAGGGGGGTGGAAGAGAGGGGGTGAGCGCAACAGGACAACAGGAGGGGAGGGAAGAGGGGAGGGGGGAGGGGGGAGGGGAGAGGGGAGGGGTCAGTGTGTCACTTGAGTCTGACTCCAGCGCCTCGTACCACCTGGGGGGAGAGGGGCGGGGGAGATAGGAGAAATGGGGTGGGGAGGAAATGGAAGAATAAGCCGTGAGTTTGGCTCGAGGCCTGCCGGGGACGAGGATTGGACTGCATGGAGGCAATCTTCTGCTCGACCTGAGCGTTTAGTGCTACGACACCCACTGGGTCTGCTCCAGTTGTGCACAAGCCAACAGCCGTGCTCTACTCCAGTTGTCAATGATCGGTCAAGCCAACAGCCAAGCACAAGCTCCTGCTCACATGCGGCCCACATACAGGTCGCACGCCCGTGGCTCCAGCACTAACGGCAGCCCGCCCGCCAGCCAACGTACCCACGAGCCTCCGGCAACGACTTGCCCAGTTCGAGGCCTACGGTTGCTCCATATTCAGTCGCCTAAGGTCGCTCTCCTGAGGCCTGCTTCGCTAGCATCGTCGCCTGCACGCGCGCCTCACCTCGTCGGGCAGGCCGCTAGTCTGACGGTTGAGAATCGGGCTTAAGTCGCTGAGCTTCTGCGTCGTGCCACGCGCAGAGTCCGCGCTACAAACCGTCTCAACAAAAGTCTCCTGCGGCGCTCACCTCGTCGGGCAGGTCGCTGGTCTGGCGGTTGAGAATGGGGCTGATGTCGACGGGCGTCTCCGGCAGCATCTCGCCGAGCTTCTGCGCGTGCCGCATCTGCCACGTGCGCCCGTGCCCGCCGTCCTTCTCCTTGATCTTGCGCAGCTTCCGCGAAACCACGTCCGACACCTTGTCGATTGCGGCATAGGCGGATTCAGCCTCCTCCTCCGCGCGCAGCACGCCGTGCTTCTTCGTGAAGATGGTAACCTGGTAACCGGACGGTGGGCAGGCGAATGCACAGGCGATTACGGAAAACAGTGCGGGATGAGGTGGATAAAAGTTATGGACCCACAGAAACCCAAACCCTTCAGGCCGCAACAAGTAGGACCCGGAAAGGCGGGACGAAACTGGGTGAGGTGAGAGAATGGGAAACCGACAAAAACAATCTGTGAGCATGGAGCGACGTGCCAACACCAGGAGCGACGTGAGAATCGGCGTTACCTCGCAGCGTTGCTGGCGCGGGCCCTTGGTGTTGCTGTCGCCGCCGCGCACGGAGAGGCGCACGTCGACCTCTCGGCACAGCGCGCTGTGGTTGCTCACCGCGTGCCCCACCTTCTCCTCCACATACGCGCGGATCGAGTCCGTCAGCTGCGGGGGATGTGGGGGATTCGGGGGATGCACGTCGGAAGAGGGGGGGGCGGAATGGCATTTTGCAAAGTTGCGGATCGACTCCGACAGCTGCGCTGGCTACGGCCGTTGCATGCGGATTCTTATTTTTCCACGACGGAACCGGGTTTGCACGGTGTGGCGCATTGTTAGTCGTGTGCGGTGTCAAGACAACGAGAGCAGGCGCATCTTGGAAACGCAACTCCTGCACCGTACGTCTAGAAAAACAAGATCCTCGTACCACTCTTTGCGTCCACTCGAGATCGCTTGAGCGACGAGTCGACTCAAGAGCGCACGCACCTCCATGTGCTTCCCTTGAACGATGAGTCGCACGGCGGCCAGCGCGCCCCCCCACGCCATGGTCGCCATCGCGCGTCTCCCGGTCAGCTGCACGCCGCCCACCTGCAGCCGGCTGGGAGCCGCTGCCGGTGCCGCTTTTTGGCACGGCGCTGCCGCTGTGTGCTTGAGAAGGGGGTTCGCGGAGGGAGCATCGGCGAATCTTCCGAGGAAAGCATTGGGGAGGATGGCGAGGCCTGGGCGGGCGGCGGCGATGGATTTGAGCGGCGCGAGCTTCGAGGGGATGGCGGACACCGCTGCTCTCGCGACCAGGAGGCTCGACGACGCCATGGCTGCTGGCCGAACCGGTGACAGAATACGCGCGGGTGTGAAGGGAAGCGTGCGCTAACACGCTGCGGAAAAGGAAATTAGACTCCCGAAACTGGGCTGGCGAGTGTACTACCTGCCTGGTGTGTCAGGCAGGGCTGCAATCCGAAGTATATGACAAGGAAAATGCCTGTGATTTTGCCTGGAATGGTCAAGGTTCCAGACTTAGTAGGAAATGAGAATTTAGGAACACCTCGTTGAAGGGCCTTGGGATTTGCTCCGAGGGGGCTGCTCCGCTGGAATGAGGAGAAAGGGGGGGGGATGGGGGCCGTGCGGGAAGTGGGGGGAATGCGCGCGCAAAACGCCTGCAAAACTCACCCGTGCCCCGCTGGGAAGGTGTTTTGGTTGGTTGGTTGGTGTGGCTCACGCGTCTCCCCCCCCCCCCCCAATCTGCGTGGCGGGAGCAGGCAAACAATATCAGGCCAGCAAAGTTGTGCCAGCGCTGCTGTTACCACGTTGGAAAAGCTGACGTGGTATCGTGGCAGAGGTTTTGTTTTGAGCTCTGCAAGATGGGTCGGGCAGATATGATCTGAGCTGGAAGCCTGGAGAAATTAACCTCGTTGTTGAGCTGTCCGGCACCATCTTGAACACTAAGGAACAAATTTCATTAGTGTTCAGTACAAAACCACAGAGGGGATTTTGAAATTCACTGGACAGATTCATTTTCTGCAGCCATTCACAGCATAGAGACTGAGGCTAGTTGCGCTGCGTGGTTGCCCGTGCGCACCTCGACAGCCGCCTTAGCTGCCTTCCAGGTTCGCGAGATCAGCAAACTGATCGACAAATAACCATGGCAGCAGCAGCGGCAGCAGCAGCAGCAGCGGCTCCTGCGCCGCCTGCAGCGGCGACGGAGCTAGTGGAGTTCCTGAATCGCTCGTGGACTGCCTTCCATGCCGTAGGTGCGTGCATGCTCTACACTACCACATGGCCCCAGGGCCTGTCAATCTCGCACGGTCTTAGGACTAGTGGATTTCGTTCACGTTCTACTCCGCGGATCGATGACGATGAACCATCTCTCTGTCAGCTCGTTGCACATCCTCTCTGTCAGTTCATGGCCACACCAACTGATTACTCGGGCGTTCCTCCTCGCGACATGAAGCTCACCTGAACTGCCTAACTACTTCGTTTCTCCTTTCGGCGCGCAGACGAGTGTCGCCAGCGGCTGCTGAAAGCGGGTTACCAGCAGCTGTCGGAGCGCGAGGAGTGGCGGCTGGAGGCCGGCGGGAAGTACTTCTTCACGCGCAACTACTCCACTATCGCGGCCTTCTCTATCGGGAAAAAGTGAGTGAAGCTTGATCATGAATGGCAACAGAGTGCAGAATGACACAGACGCCCCATGCCCGAAGCTGATGCTGAAGCCGAGAGCAACTGGTATTCCACGAATTGCAACAGTATGCATGCACAGACACCCCGTGCCTGAAGCTGAGGCTGAGGCTGAGGCTGAGGCTGAGGCTGAGGCTGAGGCTGAGGCTGAGGCTGAGGCTGAGGCTGAGGCTGAGGCTGAGGCTGAGGCTGAGGCTGAGGCTGAAGCCGAGAGCAACCGGTATCTTGATGCACAAACAGCAAGCCCCCACATCCCGCTCATCCCCCCCTCCCCCCCTTTCCCACCCTCACTAGGTTCATCGGCGCGCACACAGACACCCCGTGCCTGAAGCTGAAGTTGAAAGCAACCGGAGATTAGAAGCACACAGCGGAGACCCCTTACCCCCACCCCCCCTCCCCCGTCTTCCCTGCTCCTACCCTCCTCCCACCCTCACTAGGTTCAAACCAGGCAATGCGTTTTGGATAATCGGCGCGCACACGGACAGCCCGTGCCTGAAGCTGAAGCCAAACAGCAAGGCGAGCAAGGCGGGGTTCCTGTCCGTGGCCGTGCAGACGTACGGCGGTGGGCTCTGGACCACGTGGTTCGACCGTGACCTCGGGATCGCCGGCAGGGTGCTGCTCAGACACGTGGACGGGCAGGAAGGGGGACGGGGAGAGGGGGAAGCAGCGGAGGGAGGAGCGGAGGGGGGAGGGGAGGGTGGGAAGGCGGCATTGGTGTCTGTGAAGCAGGTGCGGTTGGAGCATCGGCTGGTGCGGATTGATCGCCCGGTGCTGAGGATCCCCACGCTCGCCATTCACCTCGACCGGTGAGCATGCTAGGGTGTGAGGGCATGTGGAGGGGGCGGACGAGAGGGTCAAATGGTGGTACGTCCGTCACAGGCGTCTGCCTGCTGCCCCTGACTTCCGTGAGGGGAGAAGAGCCGGTGATACACACTCGCCACTGTTGCATAACCATAGCGGGGCGCCATTTCCGTGCTATTAAATGCGCATGTCTCGCGTCTCACTCCCCCTGCGCTCGTCTCAGGGAGGTGAACTCGTCGGGATTCAAGCCCAACACCCAGACGCACCTGCTGCCCGTGCTCGCCACCGCCATCAAGGTTCTCTACTTTTCTCTCCTCCTCCTCCTCCTCCTCCTCCTCCTCCTCCTCCTCCTCCTCCTCCTCCTCCTCCTCCTCCTCCTCCTCCTCCTCCTCCTCCTCCTCCTCCTCCTCCTCCTCCTCCATCCTCCTCCCACTTCCTCGCCCTCTCCCCCTCTTCCTCGCCCTCTCCCCCCCTTCCTCCTCTTTCCTCCTTCCTTCCCCTGCTCCTGATGTCCCGCCTGTGCCGGTCGTTGCACCTCATGCATCTTCTCATTATATTCACAAAGCCGTGTACAATCAGACTAGTCGCTGCTCCTCTCTTGCCCTCACCCCAAGTGTTCGCCTCACGTGTTTGCCCCGCTGTGGTCTGGCCTCACGTGTTTGCCCCCCCTGTGGTCTGGCCTCAGGAGGAGTTGAACCGACCAGCACCTCCCAGTGGGAGTGATGGTGGGGGTGAGGGCAGGGAGGGGGAGGGGAAGGCGAAGGGCAAGGGGAAGAAGGACGAGCCGGCAGAGAGGCACCACCCCTTGCTGCTGCAGGTGAGGCACCGCCACCCCTTGTAGTGATGCCCGCTCCACATGCTACCTTCCTCCACCTGCTGCAAACCAGATTTTGGCGTGTCATAACTCCCTGTTCCCTTCTTCGAACTGCCCCCCTCCCCCCATCTCCGCCGGTCTTCCCCGTCCGCCCACCCCTCAGCTCCTAGCATCTGAGCTTGGCTGTGCCCCGGGGGCAATAGCAGACTTCGACTTGCAGCTGTGCGACACCCACCCCAGCGCCATTGCGGGTGCACTCAACGAGTTTGTCTTCTCCGGCCGCCTCGATAACCTCGCCTCCTCCTTCGCCGCCCTCCAGGTACTGCCGCCCTGAAGACCTGCTTACGCTCTTGCTTGCCTTACGGTCACCGTAACATACGAACACCGTAACATACGAACACCGTAACATATGAACACCGTAACATACAAACACCGTAACATACGAACACCGTAACATACGAACACCGTAACATACGAACACCGTAACATACGAACACCGTAACATATGAACACCGTAACATACAAACACCGTAACATACGAACACCGTAACATACGAACACGCTAACATACGAACACCCTAACATACGAACACCCTAACATACGAACATCCTAACATACGAACACCCTAACATACAAACACCCTAACATACAAACACGCTAACATATGAACATCCTAACATACGAACACCCTAACATACGAACATCCTAACATACGAACACGCTAACACACGAACAGCCTAACATACGAACAGCGTAACATATGAACACCCTAACATACGAACATGCTAACATACGAACACGCTAACATAAGAACACCCTAACATACGAACAGCCTAACATACGAATACCCTAACATAAGAACACCCTAACATACGAACAGCCTAACATATGAACACGCTAACATGCGAAAACCCTAACATACGAACTCCCAATCATACGAACCTCCTTACTGCAGCCCCTCTTCCCCCCACCTACCACTTCTTGTGCGACCCCCACCCCCGCCCTCCCCTCTTCCTCCTCATCTGCAGGCGTTGCTGGCAGCAGGGGAATCGGGTGATGAGTCCGAGGAGGCGGAGGGGGGAGTGCGCATGGTGCTGTTGTTCGACAACGAGGAGTGCGGCAGTGACTCCGCGCAGGGCGCTGGCTCCCCCCTTCTGCTGGACGCCATTCGCAGGGTCAATGCTGCGTGCACTAGTGGCGCTGCACCTTCTGAGGTAGGGCAACACTTCCGCCCAGGGGTGTCGGTACTAGTGTCGGCCCAGGGGTGGCAGGCACTCCGCTCAGGGCGCTGGCTCCCCTCTGCTGCTGGACGCCATTCGCAGGGGAACACTGCTTCTGAGACCCCTTGAGGTGAGATCCAGGGAGGTGAGACCCAGGTAGATGAGACCCAGGGGGTGAGACCCAGGGGGGTGAGACCCAGGGGGGTGAGACCCAGGGGGGTGAGACCCAGGCAGATGAGACCCAGGGGGTGAGACCCAGGGGGGTGAGATCCAGGGGGGTGAGACCCAGTGGGGTGAGACCCAGGGGGGTGAGACCCAGGGGGGTGAGACCCAGGGGGGTGAGACCCAGGGGGGTGAGTCCCCAGGCAGGTGAGACCCGGGGGTGAGACCCAGGGAAGTGTGAGCAAGAAGTGAGACCCAAGGGTACCCACCCAGCAGGCAAGAGCACCCAGCAGGCAAGAGCACCCAGCAGGCAAGAGCACCGAGCACGCAAGAGCACCCAGCATGGGCGCTCGTGAGTGTCTCTGGGCCTTTCTCGGAGTGCTTCCTTGCACCCATGTAGCCACGCTTCAAGTGCCTCGAGTGTTTTTACAAGCCTGCTATTTTTGTCCTCACCCTTATTCCCCACCCGTCCCATCCACACCATCCCATGCCAACCCATGCCATGTCATCCCATGCCATCCCATGCCATCCCATGCCATGTCATCCCATGCCATCCCTCCCATGCCATGCCGTGCCATACTGCAACAGGGAGTGGTGGAGAGGTCACTCCAGAAGAGCTTTGTCGTATCGGCTGACATGGCGCACTGCCACCACCCCAACTACCCTGTTAGTACCCTCCGCAACCCTCTCTCCCCTCCTACCCCCTCCACTCCCCACCCCTCCCCTTCCCTTGCATGCTCGTTCGTTGTCTCTTTTTTTCCCAAGATTTGTAAGTGTATCAACTAGGTCCATCTGGCCTATCCGCCTCTGTCAGCATTGCCTTGCTACCCGTGCTGTGCATCCTCCGTTTCCCTTCTCCTCTGCTACCCATGCATGTGCGGTCATCCTTCCACCCACCCACCCACTGTTTGGTCGCTGCAGGAGAAGCACGAGGAGCTGCACCAGCCGAAGATGCACAAGGGGCTCGTGATCAAGCACAACGCCAACCAGCGCTACGCCACCACCGCTGTCACTGCTGCGCTCTTCAGAGAGATAGCCACGTGCCATGGCATCCCCGTGCAGGTGAGGGTTAGCCACGTGCCATGGCATCCCCGTGCAGGTGAGAGCTGCCCATACCCAGTGCTCTGCTTATCTCTCATCCCTTCCCGTCTCCCTGCTGCCTCATCATACTTCTCTGCTCGGGTGGCGACTTGGGGTGTGGTCACTCGTCTCAGTTAAATGACCCCTCCCTTCATTCAAGCAATGGCCTCTTATTCCACTCAATCACCCGTCCCTCCGCACCGCTCCCTCTCAGGACTTCGTGGTGCGCAACGACACGGGGTGTGGCAGCACCATCGGCCCCATCCTGGCATCAGGGGCCGGCATTCGCACGGTGGATGTGGGTGCACCGCAGCTGTCGATGCACAGCATCCGGGAGATGTGTGGCACGGAGGACATCAAGCACATGGTGGACCACTTCACTGCCTTCTTCCAAGACTTTCCCACGCTCGATGCAAGCCTTACCATAGACTAGCTGCTGTATACGATCTACTGTACCAGTGTTGCTCAGTATCACGGCAGCTGTACACCAGCTACTGTGACACATAGAGGACGTGGTGGGCGTGCCGCAGCTGTCGTTGCACAGCATCCGGGAGATGTGTGACACCGATGATATCAAGCACATGATTGATTACTTCGCTGCCGTCATCCACACTTTGCCAAGTGATTCATGGCCTCTTGTATACAAGTATTTTAGTGTGGCTTGCCGTGTAACACTGTTGAACCGTAGTATAAACAACCCTGAACGAGCAGCATATCGAAATGTATGGGACAAATATGGGGTCGACCAACAAATACATGTACCAATTGAACTCTGCTCATTCAGCAACAGCCTCCAAGCAGACGATGGTTACTCCCATCTTACTGTACATGCTTGATTAGGGCGTGTCCAGCGCGTACGTTTACTGTACACGGAACACGGTTCAGTCGGATACATCGGGTTCGGGAGCGGTTTCGGCGCATAACCATGTTGGACCACCGAGCACCACTGTGAACCGTAAAAAGTGAATTCTAAACGTACGCGCTGGACACCAGGGCTGATTTTATCAGACTATTTTAGTCTGGTTGTCTGACATTTCAGACCAATTTTTTTACCAATCCTGTTTTTTCAGACTTGCCATTTTCTGAATGCTGAACACTTCAAGGTATATGTTTTTTAATCCTGAGAATCTCAGACTTTGCAGTTTGCGGATACTGAGTTTTCAGAGCGCAGCGCATACAGACCCTGAGATAGACATACCGGTACTGCACCTTCCTGCCCTCACCCAAAAATTTCGTCCAAGTCCCCAACGGCCAGAGTCAAGTCCTTTCACACACACCCCGCCCCGCAACCTATAAAATCTGGCTAAGTCCTAGCAGCCAGAGACAGTTCCCCCCAGCATAATCAGCAACCCATAAGGGCGTGTCCAGCGCGTTCGTTTACTACGGTATTCACTTTTGTTATGAATGAACAAGCAGAGTAGCGCGGAAATGAATAACAAAGTGTTCACTCAATGAATGACGATACAAGGAATGGCAAGCCAAGATATAGGAACACCAGAGCTAGTCTAACCATGCGATGGGAAGGTTCGGGAAGGAGATCGAAGGGTCTCGAAGTGACGCAGCGAGGCCTGGAGAACTCCCGAAGGTCGAACTACCAGGTCTGGGGAAGCCGAGTCGGTTCTGTCAGGAGGTCTGGAACAGTCCCGAGGCTTCGGGTGTGTTCGAGCATACGCGATAGCAGTACCGCTCGGTAAGGAATGGAAAATTCCTTACACCACCCCCCCCCCTTAGCGAAGGTGATCTATATCAGCCACGTGCTTGCGGTCGAAATAATTCGCAAGTATCAAAGGTGACTGTATCTGGTCCGAGGGCACCCACGTATCGTCCTCACTGGTACGATTGGTCCATCGTATCAGAAAGTCAACGCGTCGTCCTTGACCGTCGATACGAATCCGATGGCTCAAGATCTTCGAAGGCTCGATGGTCGTCTCAGCTGGTGGCCGTACATCTGGGATCAATCGCTGTCGAGCGATGTCCGACGTGTCAGGAACAAAGGGTCGCAACAGGCTCACGTGGAATTTGTTGTGAACACGCCAGTCATCAGGTAGTCGTAGTTGGGCGGTCACCGGCGTCACCATCTTCACGATCTTGAATGGGCCACAGAAACGTGGTCGTAATTTCGTCGGTAGTGGTAGTCGTAAATTCTTGGTGTCCAAAAGGACTAGTTGCCCTGTTGCCATTGTAATATCCCGTCGATGTAAATCCGCATACCGTCGGGCAGTTGCGTTCGCCTTGCGGATAAGTTCGACAGCTTTGTCTCGGGCAGTCTGTAAGTCCTCGACGAACTGCTGCGATCGTGGTACTTGACTTTCAACATTGGTGGAGATCGGCACTGTAGGGTCCATCCCGTAATTGAGATAAAACGGGGAGTGATTAGTTGTAGCCGAGGGCGCGTTGTTGTAGGAAAATTCCAACATGGGCAGCACGTCCTCCCATTTGTTCCGGTCGGGGCAGTTTGTCCGAATCAGCTGCTCCATCGTTTGATTCGTCCGTTCCGTTTGGCCGTCCGTTTGAGGATGATAAGCGGATGAGAATTGTAGACGCGTGCCGTACCGAGCCCACGTGTCCTGCCAGAATTTTTACGTGAACTTCGGATCTCGATCGCTAATGATTGCTGCTGGTATCCCGTGTAGGCGAACGACGGTCGAGATGAACAGGCGCGCTGTTTCTTCGGCTGTGATGGTTGTACGACATGGGGCGAAGTGCGCCATTTTCGTTAATCGGTCGACGACAACCAACACTGCGTCGTTTCCGCTGGGTCCGGCCGGTAGTCCCGTAACGAAATCCATCGTTACGTGTTGCCATGGGCGTTGAGGTGGCTCGAGGGGCTGCAACAGTCCTGTAGGTCGCTGGTGTGAGGATTTCATTCGCTGGCAGATCGGACACGCGGCCACGTAACGCTGCACGTCTGTCACCATATCTGGCCAGTAATAAAACCGTTGCAATGCCTTCAGAGTTTTATCAACCCCGAAATGTCCCGATAAATTCGAATCGTGGACTTCTTGAATTAGTAATTCGCGAAGAAGACGACAACTTGGGACCCAAATTCGATCAGTCCCGCTTCGTAAGTAATAGACGCCTTTTCGTGTAGTGATTGGGAGATGGCCGTCATTTACGAAAAAGGGGTCAGTCGAATACCCGTGGGTAAATAGTCCACTCAGTAGCGGGTTGCTCTGGGCGACTAGTACTGCTGCGAGTTGGGCAGATGGTCTGGAGAGGGCGTCGGCAATATTGTTGGCGCCTCTTTTGTACGTCATCTTGTACGTGAAGCTGGACTCCAGATAGTCCAGCCAGCGTATCTGCCGCGGGTTGAGATTCGGCTGCGCCCTCAGGTACTGTAGTGATTTGTGATCAGTTCGCACCGTCACGTCTGCTCCAGTCAGGTAGCACCTCCAGATTTTGAACGCATGGACGATCGCCAGCATCTCCTTGTCGTGCACCGGGTAGTTGCACTCAGCAGATTGCATTTTCCGAGACTCGTACGCGATTGGTTGAAGCCCATTGCCGAAATCCTGCATGAGCACTGCTCCGATGGCGATGTCACTTGCGTCGGTGATGACTTCGAAGGGCCGTTCCGGGTCAGCAATGCGAAGTACTGGTGGTGACATTAAAAGTTTATTTAATGCCTCGAACGCAGCTTGCTGCTTCTCCCCCCACTCATAACAAGTTCCCTTCTGCAGTAGGTCGGTTAGAGGTCCAGTTAGCCCCGCCATGTTGGGTATAAACCGCCTCACGTAATTCACGAAACCCAAAAATGATTGCAGCTGCTGCAGATTTGTGGGCGGTTTCCACTCCTGAATAGCCCTGAGTTTTTTCGGGTCTATTCGAATCCCTTCCGTGGAGATCACGTGCCCTAGGAACTCCAGTTCTTGTTTTAAAAACTCGCACTTGGAGCCCTTGGTGATGAGTCGATGCTGCTGCAACCGCTGAAAAACCGCTTCCAAATCTTTTAAATGCTGCTCCCGGGTCTTGATGTAAATCAGGATGTCGTCCAAGTAAATTATCACGCATTTGTCGAGTAGATCGCAGAACACCCCGTTCATGGTGAGTTGGAACGTCGAGGGGGCGTTCGTTAATCCAAACGGCATCACCGTGTATTCGTAACTCCCATAGCGAGTACGAAATGCGGTCTTGTGGCAGTCGTCAGCGAACACTCGAATTTGGTGGTAACCGCCACGAAGGTCGATCTTCAAAAAGTAGCGAGCTCCGCGAAGGTTGTCGATCAGTTCGTCCGTTCGTGGGATTGGGTAGCGCGATTTTATCGTTACCCGATTAAGGGCGCGATAATCCGTACACATGCGAAGTCCGCCGTCCTTTTTTGGTGTGAACAGGATCGGTGCTGCGAACGGGGACGTGCTCGGCCGAATGAACCCTTTCGCCAGCAGGTAGTCCAACTGGTTCTGTAACTCCTGTAGCTCCGGCTGAGTCAGGCGCCATTGTGTTCGTACAGTAGGCTGCGCGCCGGGCTCCAGCTCGATTTTGTGGTCCTGGGGTCGTTCGGGTGGCAGTCCACTTGGCAAGTCGTCGGGGAAAATCTCAGGATATTCCCGAATGATTGTCGCCAAGTCATCCGGGACCGAATCGCAGAGTTTGTTGATGTCGGTCGCCTCGTTCTGCTCCGTCGATTCGGTTAGATGGACGGCGTACAAATCCGCTCCATTCTTGACCGCTCCGTTGAGGCACACCGCGTTGACTCGTGTCGACGTTGTCTTTGCTTCGGGCCACGTGGGTAATTTTCGCCAGCCTTTGTCGCACTTCACTGTACACTCGCCTGTCGTCCAATTAATATGCGGGTTGAATCTTCGTAGCCAATCGCGTCCCAATAGCACGTCGTAGCCGTCGAGCGTTGTCGCCAGCATCGGCGCACTGAAACCGAAATCGTCGCCACACTTCATTCGAACGACAAGAACTCTGTCGCGTATCGCCAGTGGGGTGCCGTCCACCAATCGTGCGTCGATTTCGGGTAGACACCTCTCCAGCGTCAGGTGTAGTCGTCGTGCTGTCTCTCGATTTATCAGGCTGTGACTCGCACCTCCGTCGATGAATATTTTTATTTTTCTGCCATGAAGTCGTCCTTCCGCCAGTACAGGGTGGTCCACTGGGTCATCCTCCTTTTTCAGCCGGGAGCGGTTGATAGCATGTATCGGAACCACTATTCGGTGGGGATGATGTTTTTCGGGCGATGAGGCAGGGTCAGTAGGGGGCCCGACCGCTACTGACGCTTGGCGTTTCCCGACCTGTCCTCGTCGTTCTTCTTTATCTGCTTCTTTCGGAGGCAATCGTGAAATTGGTGACCCGGCTGGTGGCAGTTGAAACATTGTCCCTTGCAAAAATCGTCCATGTGCTCCTTCGCCACTACGCCGTGAATCGTGGGCCGTGGATTCTGGCCACGAAAACGATTTCCCTCCCGGGAACCCGCTCTCGCATACGTCCGATGCGCGTCGAAGTTGTCTGCGATCCGGACGGCTTCGTGAAACGTCGCCGGCAGTCGCAGTCGGACCTCGCATTTAATGTCCTGCTTCAAACCCGAAATGAATCGAGCTTTCTTCTCGGAGTCATGCATGTTGGTGATTTGATCGCATAACGCCAAGACCGACGCGTAATCCTGGACTGAACTCCACTGGCGCCAGTTGTCCAGCTTCGTGCGCGCGTTGTCCGAGGCGGATATTGGTTCGAAACGTTCGCGCAGAGCTGTACCCCATGCCTTC